AGCTGTATTTGCAGAGGCTCATCAAAGCGCTATCATTACCCTTCGGCTGTTCCCAGACCCTCTGCACAGGACTGAAGGAGCTGGGCCAGGAGCTCCATTCCCCACCAGAAAGGCAGAGATATCCAAATCGTGACCTCTAGCCCACATAGTGAACTTCCAACTGGAAACATCTGCCACATGCACAAAGGCACTTCAACATCCACACAAAGAAAGGAGGGCCTCACCTTTCATCTTGATCTTTTACCTGCCACCGATGCTAGGACCTTCATTCACACCTGAGTTGTCTGTCTCCCCAAGCCTCTACCTCCTGCCTTAAACTCCTGTGACATTACTTTTTCTGGCTCTTTCCTGGTGACATTACTCTTTCCTGGATGACTCACTCAATTTTCTGATGAGTCTCTCTCTTTTTTTTTTTAAGATTTTATTTATTTTTAGACAGAGGGGAGGGGAGGAAAAGAGGGAGAGAAATATCACTGTGTGATTGCCTCTCACACACCCCCTACTGGGGAGCTGGCCTGCAACCCAGGCATGTGCCCTTTGGTTCTCAGGCCCATGCTCAATCCACTGAGCCAACCGGCCAGGGCCTGATGAGTCTCCTCACTTTGCATTGAGCCTTTATACCAGCCTTTATATTACAGCCAGACTGACAAGACTCAAAACCCTTGTTGTCTGTGATTTGGAGAATGCAATCTAAACTTTAAACCTGCTGAAAAATCCTTCACACTCTTTTCAGACCCCTTCACCCCATTCTTTCACATTCTACTCTGTGTTCCTGTACCATGAACTCATTTCTTCAGGCACTCAGGTCCTCGTAAGACTCCTGCCTCAGCTGGAGTCTGTAGGCAACAGATATTTATTGAGCACCTACTATGTATATCAGGCCCTAAGGATGTAGTGACATGACACACTACAGGTGAATGCATTGTGTAACTGTTTATTTGGTGTCATTCAAATAAACTCAGTGGATTGTACCAGTGTTTTTCTGGTTGTGATGTTGTCCTGTTGTTATGCTTAATATTGACATGAAGAAGGCAAGTGAAGATGCAGAGGATCTCCTTTCACATATCTTTGTAACTTCCTATGAATTTATGTATTTTTTTAAGTCACAAAATAAACTCTACAGAGGAGACAGTGATAAGGACAAGGTGGACAAACACAGTGTGAGAACAGGAGGATAACCAAGTCCCTAACTCTGCTGGAAAACAGGGAAGGCCCCAGAGCTAACCCTGAAGGGTGAGGTGGGGTTGGGGTGGAAGGATATCTTAGGAGGCTAGTGTCATATGCAGAGGCTCTGGCACATTCAAGTGCAGGCTGTTCAGTGGATGGCCTGGGATGAGCAGCAAGAGGTGAAGATGAAGGGCTAGGACAGATTTCATCCTAAGAACCCTATGCACCTTGCTGAAGACTCTGGGGGTTATCCTAAGATGGTGGGAGCTGTTTTCATATCCAATCAATCGGTGACCTGCTCAGTTAAATTTTAAGTTCCTGTTGGTGGCTGATATGCAATAAGGTGGTGGGTGAGGAGTTGTGGCAGAGATGCCAGTGGAGACACCATTACAGTGGTGGATGGCGCAAGGCTCAAAACTGCAGGAAGACAGACACAGGTTTGATGGTTTTAGGAGGTAGAATTGGTAGGACTTGGTGAAGGATTAAAAAAATGAGGCACTCTGGAATGTTCTCCAGCATTTTCTGTCTTGAGTAAGTGGCTGATGGTGGCACTGTTCTTGAAGTTAATTACAGGGTGGCCCCAGGTGTGGCAGGTGGTGGCAGGTTTGTGTCTGAATTCATTGAGTTGCTAGATGTTTCTGGAGAATGAGAGTGCAGATGTTGGGATTAGAACTGTAGGTGTGGGGGCTGGCAGCAGCACACAGATAGTAAGCCCATTCCTGGGAAGTACTTACGGGGTAAGACTGGAAAACAACTGCTGTTCTCTAGTCCTGGAGTGTGTCATGTCTCTCCCATCCCATTAGTACCCACCTATCTGGAAATGTGCTCCCTGGTACTCCTCCCCACCTGCTGTGAGGATTCAGTCCTCCTTTAGTGCTCTACCATCAAACTTTTTACCCTGCATCTGTCTCCACCATGACTTGTTAAAGGAAAAAAAAATATTCAACACTTAATAGTAAAGCAGACTTTATTTAGGGCAGTTGTGATAGATGTAGGACCACTGCTATGGGATTTTATAATGAGGGTGGCAGGGAAAGGTTAGGCTTAACTCTGAATACAGTGTGGGCAACTGGGAATTTATAGCTAAGGAGCAAGGTCATGGTCAGAATGGAAAAATACTAAGAGAAAACATCTGGGGTGAGGAGGGATTCTTGTTGAAGACAGGACAAGGCAATCAGACATCACCTTAAGGATGGTAGGCAATGAGGAACTTGAGATCATGCACACCAGATACGCAGGTTGAAGGGTTCTGGTTTAACTGCCTTAGCAGGGTTTTTGCTAAAACTGAATACATGGAAGTGCACTTACAGGTCTGAGAGAAGGTTCTGGAGCCTGATCAATGTGTAATCAAGCAAAGGAGTTTGATCAGACCCAAGAAGAGTAGGGGGGCTAATTCTCATCCAGCTCCCTGGAGTTCAGCAGAGAAGATGGCTGATGACAGATTCTTGGACATTGCATGGGCAGCTAGGAGAGTTAATCGGAAATATTTTTGTAATTCTATGACATTTATTGAATGGTTCTAGTCTATTTGACATCTTGCAACAGGTGGAAGAAAACCATAAGCCCCCCCGAAGGAGCTCCTGTTCATTTATTTCCCCTCGGTTTTGCCAGTCTGGCTTTTAAAAGAACATTTATACCTCTGATATGATACATAAGTCTCCTGTTTATAAATCGTATGTATTTTAAACTGCTCATTGCTTTTTTAATACATTTTATTGATTATGCTTTTATAGTTGTTCCATTTTCCTCCCTTTATTCCCCTCTGCCCTGCACACCCCCTCCCACCCACATTCCCCTCCTTTATTTCATGTCCATGGGTCATACATATAAGTTCTTTGGCTTCTACATTTCCTATACTATTCTTAACCTCCCCCTGTCTATTTTCTACCTACCATTCATGCTACTTATTCCCTGTACTTTTTCCCCTTCTCTCTCCCTCCTCCTCCCCTGTTGCTAACCCTCCATGAGATTTCCATTTCTGTGGTTCTGTTCCTGTTTTAGTTGTTTGCTTAGTTTGTTTTTGTTTTAGGTGTAGTTGTTAATAACTGAGTTTGCTGTCATTTTACTGTTCACATTTTTTATCTTCTTTCTCTTGGATAAGTCTCTTTAACATTTCATATAGTAAGGGCTTGGTGATGATGAACTCCTTGAACTTGACCTTATCTTAGAAGCACTTTATCTGCCCTTCCACTCCAAATGATAGCTTTGCTGGATAGAGTCATCTTGGATGTAGGTCCTTGCCTTTCATGACTTCTTTGAATACTTCTTTTCAGACCCTTCTTGCCTGTAAGGTCTCTTTTGAGAAATCAGCTGACAGTCTTCGGGAACTCCTTTGCAGGTAACTCCCTCCTTTTCTCTTGCTGCTTCTAAGATTCTCTCCTTATAATTAATCATGGGTAGTGTAATTATGAGGTGCCTTGGTGTGTTCCTTCTTGGGCCCAGATTCTTTGGAACTCTCTGAGCTTCCTGGACTTCCTGGAAGTCTATTTCCTTTATCAGATTGGGGAAGTTCTCCTCCATTATTTGTTCAAATAACTTTTCCACTTGTTGCTCTTCCTCTTCTCCTTCTGGTATCCCTATAATTCAGATGTTGGGACGTTTAAAGATGTCCTGGAGGTTCCTAAGCCTCTCCTCATTGTTTTGAATTCTTGTTTCTTCATTTTATTCTGGTTGAATGTTTCTTTCTTTCCTCTGGTCCACACCGTTAATTTGAGTCCCAATTTCCTTCCCATCACTAATGGCTCCCTGTGCATTTTTTTTTATTTCCCTTAGTATAGCCTTCATTTTTTTCATCTAATTTGTGACCAAATTCAACCAATTCTGTGAGCATCCTGATTACCAGTGTTTTGAACTATCCATCTGATAGGTTGGCTATCTCTTTGTCACTTAGTTGTGTTTTTTTCTGCAGCTTTGATTGTTCTTTCATTTGGGCCATTTTTTTTTCTCAGCGCACCTGTTACATAGTGATGGGCAGAGCCTTGGGTGTTCACCAAGATTGGGTAACACACGTTGCTGTGTTGTGACCCTGTATGTGGGGGGAGGGGTTCAGGAGGGGTCAGTGGCACTTGCTCTGTTGTCTGCCAGATTTCTGTCACTTCCCCCACTATCCACAAGCAAAGTGGGCCTTTCTGGTGCTGGTTTCCAGGTAGGTGGGCTTGTGTATATCCTAGGACCCTGTGGGTCTCTCCAAAAAACTCTTTTGTGAGGCTGGGAGTTTCTCTCGCTGCAGCCTCAACCTCCACGTGTTTCCAATCAGTGGTTTGAGGCTTTATTAACATGTGCTGGAACCCTGGCTTGCATGGTCTGTCTTACTCCCCACTTGTTCCTCCCAGTTTATCTGCACACAAATGTGGGACCATCCACTCTACAATCCACCACCTCACTGGGTCCGCCAGCCACAGCCTTTCCTGTCCCAGTCCTCCAACCAGCCTTGCCAAGAGTCCTCTCTGCCCTGCTGCCTCTCTCTGCCCTTTATACCCATCTAGATGAATGTCTCTTCTTTAACTCCTTGGTTATTGGACTTCCATACAGTTCAACTTTCTGTCAGTTCTTGTTGTTGTCCTTCTTTTGGTTGTTCGAGGAGGAACAGCCTGTCTACCTATGCCTCCATCTTGGCCAGAAGTCCCTCATTGCTTTACTAGAGCTTTTTATTTCATCCTGAACTTAAGTTAATATAATAAAATAAATCATGAAATTTGAAAAATGTGAAAGTTAATAAAATGAAGGAAAGTGAAGGTAATCTTCATTTCCAAAAGCTAATGTGTGGACCATGTGCACATTCAGTGAAGCTGATCAGGACCCTTACTCCAATCCTTGTCTTTCACCCCCACCAGCAACTGGCTGCCCACCTGTGGAAACACAGCGAGGCTTTGGAGGCCCTGGAGACCTGCATCAGGAGCTCCCGGCGGCTAGAGAACTTATGTAGAGACTTTGAGCTGCAGAAGGTGTGCTATCTGCCTCTCAACACCTTCCTCCTGCGCCCCCTGCACCGACTTATGCACTACAAGCAGGTCCTGGAGCGGCTGTGCAAGCATCAACCGCCCAGCCACAATGACTTCAGAGACTGTCGAGGTAAGTGCAGGACAGGCACTGCCAGACCCAGCCCTGTAGGGAAGGGGTTTCTCTGGTGAAGAGCTCTGTGATCACAGTCCCAGGTTTTCATAATCATGCTGGGTAGGCACTGCTTTTTAGTACCTAATCAAATATTTTCTCTTATCTCTTGATCTTTCCATTAAAAAAGTGATGATCATTAGGACCTCTCTTTTATTTCCCCTACTGCGTACACTTTCTCCTTGGATCCTGAGTGGTTTAGTGCAGTCAGCCTAGAGAAGCTACACATAGAGTCAGTCCCTCCAAAACCCTTTCCTCTATCTACACAGTTGAAACTCATCACTACCTCCTTGGACTGCCCACGGAAAACAGCTTGTAACAAATAGTGTTCATTGCTGCTGGGCATTGGTAATATGCCAGTCACCTTACTGATCACTTCACCTGAATGAATTGGTTTTTTTGTTGTTTTTTTTGTTTCTGAAAGTTTTTTTCCCATTGTCATTTAATCCTTATACCTCCCTCCCTCCTTTAATCACTGCACTGCTATCCATCACCATGAGTCCTTTTCCTTTTTGCTCAATCCCTCCACTCCCTACCTTCCCCACCCCTTAGCTGTATTGCTGCTATGGGTCTGTCTGTATTTGCTTGTTAGTTCAGTTTGTTCATTAGATTCCACATATGAATAAGATTATATGATATTTGTCTTTCTCTGACTGGCTTATTTCACTTAGCATAATGTTCTCCAGGTCCATCCATATTGTCACAGAGGGTAAAATTTCCTTCTCTTTTACTATCAGTCTTTAAAACAAACCATGATGATTCATGCCTCATGCCTTGGCATATTCTCTTCCTTCTGCTTGGAGTCATTGCTACCACCACCTTGTCCTTTCCTGCACAATGCTATTCCTCATTTAAGCTTCAGTTCCTACCTAACCATGAGGTTAGATGACCCTCTCTGCCCACCTGTCTTGTTCCATTGTATCAGCGTTGCCTGGACAGGATAACCCAAAGCCATTCCAGCTCTGAGGACTCAGAGCTGTGCAGATATGTTACCCAGGAGGGTGAGGAATATCTTTAGTTTTGCATGTGCTGTCTTTGGCTGACCTGCCCAGTTTGCATTTTACTAAATAGTACCCAATGAGAAAAGTCTATCCTTGAAATTAAGTGGAAAAAGCATTATATAACTTAAACCATATGGTAGCATCATTGTGAAAAGGCTGCGGAAATCAGAGTATACCTGAATGTCAGTGATGAAGAGTGCCAAGAGCTCTTCCCAAGATGCCTACTGCATGATCTCCTGGAGACCAGGGCACCATCCCTCCCCTGAGAGGCTCCTCACCCTGACCTGACTGAGCATTTGGTGTCCAGTAATTGTTCATTGGACTAAATAGGCTGGTAATGTCTGAAGACTGAGCAAGCCTTGGGGTTTGTTGCTGTAGCTTAAACCAAGCATTCTGTGATAAGCCGGGAAGCATTTAATTTGCATCCACAGGGAGAAAGCCAGAAAACAGTATGCTTCCCTTCCAAAATTGAAGTGCTGGGATAAAGGAGCTGCTTCGTTTTCTGGTGATTGAAGTTCAGTTGACAAGTATTTTTTTTTGCTTTCTTGACCAAAATACCTAAATGCTCAGCTATGGTGGCTTTGCATGCCAGCCAAACTCATGCTAATTGAGCATTAGCTCCTTGTACACATTGGGTACCTACCAGTACAGAGAGGATGTGTCCATATTGCAAAATAAAGTTTTGTTTTGCAGTTATCCTTTATAACAATCTTGGTAAACAGTATGATTTCTGCAGAAGGTAATGCTGGTAAGTGCTGGAATGAATGTTCATTACTCAAAAGTTGCATTATCAATTAGACTGTCTCCCAGAAAGATCCCTGTTAGCCCCAGATGTTTCTTTGGCTTCTCTGGACTCTCTTCTTTCCAGGGAAAGGGGATAAAAAGATCTCTGCCCTGGAAACAGAATTCTAGGAACTCTTATTCCCCTGCAGTTTTCCCTTCTATGCCAACTTACATTGTCACAATGCATTTGGGAAACTCAAGCTAAGTGAATAAATACATAAAGTAAAGTAGACCCATTAAAACAAATCACTTGGTTTTTATTCATGAGAAGTAACAGGGTTTTCCCTAGAAGGACAGCATCTAACATAGTTCAGCTACTGAAAGATACTACCCTAGAGAGTTGAGCTTAAATATGTTGGGGGAAAACCCTTATCTGTATTAATGCTGCAGTCTCTGTGTGTTTCCTTCACTAGCTGCTTTGGCAGAGATTACAGAAATGGTGGCACAGCTTCATGGTACAATGATTAAGATGGAGAATTTCCAGAAGCTGCATGAACTCAAGAAGGATTTGATTGGCATTGACAATCTTGTGATTCCAGGAAGGGTAAGCAGCTGTGCTCTCTCATGCGTTGGAAGTAAAGATAGAAAAGCAATATTTAAGTGACTTAAATTTAAACATTTGGAATACGGATACTCCAAGTTAAAATATCCTCCTTCTGAAGGGTCTTCCTTCCACCTGGGGGATAAATGGAGGAAAAACCTTGAACATTACAGTGTCATTTGAAAATTTTGTGTCAGAAGGAGATAAAGCAAGTGTTTGGCCTCGTATTCTGCTTTTTCTCCTTACTGGCTGATTTGCTAATTTACTTTTTACCCTACCATGCTCTAAGACAATTTGTTCACATTTAAGTAAATGAAAATGGAAGATAAAAATTTTTAATTGGGTAAAATAGATATAAAGGCAGAGGAAAAGTTAATGCATGAAAGCATGCTGTAAAATCCCATGTGTGAAACTATTTTTAAAAGATACAATTTTCTGTATATAATTTTAATTAGGAATTAAAATGTTTTAGCCAGAACATTATTCTCAAATAAATGCAATTTCTCTTGTGCTGTTAACCTTCACCAAGCCAGCACCCTTCATGAGATGTATAGGTTGTTTGCAGTGAAACAGAACTTTATTGCATAAACATGCTTCTTCCAGGCCAAATAGGAATTTTAAAAACACAGCACAACCTGCCTTTTTTTTTTTTTTTTTTCAGTTCTCTTCCTAAGAATCAAAACTATCAGTCAGGTGATACATCTCATCAAATCTCTCAGTGCGATCTTTCTCCTATAGTTACCCAATTTTCAACTATCCATCACCCAGGTCCAGAAGGGAATTTTAGTCTCTGATCTGCTCTATACCTGCTTCAACCTTCACACAAGTTGCCATTATGCCAGGGGCTCTCAGTAGCTGCCCTGGAAACTTTAAACCTGTGAAGCCTACAGAGGATGTGGGAACATCTCTGTGTATTTGGTATTTCTGTTGGGAAGCCTTATTATAAAACTGACCAAATGCCAGTTGTAAAGGGTTGTCAGAAGAGTAATGTGTAAGTATGGATGGAAATTAAAGCTGAGATTTGCTTCAGCCCTGACAGCTCTTCTACTGAGAAAATCCCACCAGGCTTTAGCATCCAACACCCATGTTACCCACCCACACAGAACTCTTAGTAAAGGCCTGTGAAATCAATGTAATTTTCTCTTACATTTGGACATTATAAATATTTATCATATTATGCTACATGGCAAACAGACCATTTGTAAATCATTTATTTTGAAGAAAGGTTTCCATGGTGCTATGAACAAAGCATTGGCTTGGAGTAGGTGGCCCTAGGTTGAAATTCTACCTGCACCAGAGCTAGGCTCTTTCACCAACTGACACATTCCTTCCCTTCTGTTACATGGGGATGATATCCTATCCTTCCTAGGTCATGAGGATTTAATGAGATTTAATGTGTAAAACTAACACGATAAATATGAATTATCTTCCTCCTTGCCCCACCTCCATTTATTTGAATGACTAAATACACACTTATTATAATGTTTTGGAATTTTGCCATTTTAATGATGATGTGTGTTGAAGTGGGCCTCTTTGGGTTCCTCTTAATTGGGACTCTCTGTGTGATTCCTGGATTTGTGTGACTTTTTCTCTCATCACATTAGGGAAATTTTCTCTCACTACTCTTTCAAATACGTTTTCTGTCCCTTGTTCCTCTTCTCCTTCTGGTATTCCTATTATTCGGATATTATTACGTTTCATATTGTCTTGCATTTCTCTTAATCCCTCTTCATTCTTTCTGAGCCTCTTTTCCCTTTCCTGTTCTTTCTGTGAGATGCTTTCTACTTTGTCCTCCAACTCACTAATCCGATCTTTTATCTCATCTACCCTATTTTTAATGCTTTCTACTGTGTTTTTCAATTCAGAAATTGTATTCTTAATTTCGTCCTGGCCCTTGCTAATAGTTTCCATTTCCTTTTTCATGTTGATACAGTTAGCGGTGAGATCGTTATAGCTCCCCTGTAGTTTCTGGTAGCTCATTGTGAGCTCTTTGAACTACCTGATAACCAGTGCTTTGAATTCAGTATCTGATAGTTGACTTGCCTCTATTTCATCTAACATTCTTTCTGAGGGTTCCTCCTTTCCTTTCACTTGGGGATTGTTTGTCTTCCCATTGTTTGTGAGACTCTTCTTGTTAGCCTCAGCTTCTTAGATTAATCTGTTTTGACTCCCTGGGTTTATGGTGTGAACTTCTGTGGTGGAATGTCTGTGAATTTCAGTGGTGCAGTCTCTTCTGGTTATCCTGTCGTTCTCTGCTTCCACCTACTCGAATATGCAGCAACTTTTGGCTTCTCTCCTACAGCAAAGTGCAATCTGTCTCTCTGACTCTACTATTGGGAGGCCTCTTCTATGGGTCCAGCTCTGGTCTTTTCGTATTTTCAAGTTGATTGTGACTCTTATGGGTAAAAGAAAGAAAAGACAAAGAAAGAAATAAAAGGAAGAAATAAAAAGGGTAGGGGAATGGAAGAAAGAGCGATAAGTTTAGAAAGAAAAGAAAAAGGAATAAAACAAAATCCGAGAAAAGAGGACAAAAGTATCGAAAGATGAAACTAATAAAATTTAAAAGAAATAACAGATTACTTTAAAAAAGCAAAAAAGATAAAGAAAAGGAATGAAAAAAGTAAAAAAAAGAATAAAAATGAAATAAAATAATAAAATAAAATAAAATATAAAATAAAATAAAGAAGAAAAAATCCAAAAACAACAACAACAAAAGGAAACGTCACTTGTTGGTTTCAAACTAGCCGAACTGGTTTTTCTGGCTGCAGTTGGCTGAGGGTCAATTGTTGTGATTCTTCTGCCAGCCCTCTCTCAGGAGCCAGACACTTGGCGCCTCTCCCCAGCTCCCTACAATGGGGAACTAGGACTTCCTCACAGGGCTCCCCTCCCAGGGGTTACCGCCATGGGCTGGCATGCAGTGCTTGCGGGCGCCTGCGCCGGCTTAGTTGCCTGGTTCCCTCGGGATTGAACACAGACCTGCCCCCATTCTGTGGGAAAGCTCTAGGCCCTCTGCCCAATCTCAGGTTGGCTGCCAAGCTGGGTGTGGAGCAGACCAGGCTGTTGTGTCTATTGGATTCAGAGCCTCACGCTGTACCTATCAGATCTCTTGGGCTGGCAACCACAGAGTCCTAGGTTGGGGCCCTTTGTCCTCAGCACCCTCTCCACAAACTCTTATCAAACAAGTCTCTCCTGGCACCCCACCTTGCTTGGCCAGAAAGGGAGGGGGTTGAGGGTCTCAGCTCTTTCCCCAGGACCCCTCAGCGCCCGGGGCTTCCAGATAGTCTGAGGGGGATGAACTGGAAGCCAGGAGCCAATCTGAGGACTGGGCGCTGACCTAGAAACTCTGTGCGCACGTCATGGCACACTGCGTGGTGTGTACTGATCCCCCGAACTGTGCGCGGGCTGAAATCCCTTCTGCTCCTGTGTTTGTCTGGGTCTCCTGGCCAACCTCCGCCAAAAAATCCTAGGGAGGGAGCAGTTCAGGGAACCCATCTGGGCACTTAACGCTGTTCCAGGCGCCGTCAGGCACTCGCGGAGACACACTGCGCACCAGGCGCTGGACCCCCGAACTGTGTGCAGGCTGAAATCCCCTCTGCTCCTCTCTGTTTGGGCCACTTAGCAGGTCCTGGCGGAAAAATCCCAGGGAGGGAGCAGCTCGGGGGGACCAGTCTGGGCACTGGACGTTGTCTCAGGAGCAGTCCGGCACTCACCCAGATACACTACACATCGGGCACTTAGTCCCCCGAACTGTGGGCAGGCTGAAATTCTCTTCTGCTCCTCATTGCTTGGGCCACTTGGCCAGCCCCGGCCAAAAAATCCCAGGGAGGGAGCCGTCTGGGCACTGAACGTTGGCCCAGGCACTGTTGGGCACTCACCGCTGGGCGCTGGCCCCCCAACCATGCAGCAGCGGAGATCCCTGCTGTTCCTCTTTGCTCCGTCCCGAGACTACTGTACCGCTGCTGTCTCCCTACCATCTGGTTCCTCCGTGACCATCAAGGTTTCTGGTCCCTTATTTTCATATATGCTTGGCAACTGCTGGCTTGCTGGCTTCTCCTCCTCCGATCAGACAGGTTTCTCTCCCTTTTGTACTAGGAACTGATATCTGCTCCGTCCTACTCCATCGCCATCTTGAAAGCCCAAAATCTATATTTTAGCTTTTGGGGTCCCTTGGATGCATTGATCATACCTTCTTTCTTAAAACTCTCCCGTGTTTTTGTTTTTTCCTTGAACTGTTTCCTGGTGTTTTTCTTTCCCTCTCAGTCTCTGTGTTTAAATCCCAGTGCCCATCTTCCTCTGCAGCCTCATTTCTGGCTCCTCCCACAATTCTTATTATAATGTTATTGGTTACATGGCCCAGCATTGTAGAAGACATCATAAGCATTTAACCAAATATAGGCTCTATAAACCAGAACTGACAAGGTGATCTGGGGCAAGTTTCTAATCACTTGCTTTTCAGTTTCCTCATTGGAAAAATGGAGATAATATTGAATTTACAGGCTCATGTATGAAGCTGACATAAACACACTGCATATTTGAGTCATACACCACATGTTAAATAAAAGGTCATTGTTATTTATAAAGGTGAAGTCGGAATTGGGGTGCTGTTTACTAACTGCAGACCCACCTTATTTGCATATTCTTTTGCTCTTCAACGGGCTTCACAGCTATTCACTGTTTCAAGTCAGCCCTGAGTAACAGGGAAAGGGGAGGGCTCAGGCCCTCAAGGGATGAGTTCTAAGATGGGGCATTCCACACACCAAGGCCAACTGATTATCATTAATTAATTTTCCATTGTCAAATAACATAATGAGTAGAAGGAAGGTTCTGATAGATTTGTCTACAGGTGGAATTTGAAAAACAGGTTTGAAGGTGAGCAGGTAATTTTAGAAATGCCCCCTAAACTACCTGCAGTCTAATCCCTAACAAGGCTTTCAGGAAAAATCCCATTCACCCTTCTGCTGGGCTTAGTCTGAGATGGTTTTATGTCCTGATAAGTAGGACACTTTGGCCTGAACCAGGTCCCCTGGGGCTGTTTCTCTATCCTAGGAATTGCGTGCTTTCTAGGTTATAGGAGCACATTCTTCTTCATTAAACAAAATGAAGCAGGGAAGGGGAGGTGGGACAAGGGGAAGGGGGTTCATTCGGTTAAGACTCAGAGGTGTAGACATCTTTGGATGGATTTTTCTCCAGAAGGAAGCAGCTTGAGCTTAAAGTTTTTAAGGGTTTTTTTCTTTTTCTTTTTTTCCCTGTTCCACAGTTTAGAAAGGGGGAAAAAAGTTCTAGGCAAGAGACATTTTTCATCTCCAGCCCTCAGATACTGACATATGAGTCCATAGCCCTTCTTCTCCTTGCCCCTGAAGACCTGGAACACAATTGCCAGACCACACTCCCTTTTATTTCTGTAGTAAGTACATTAGGCACCCTGTCTTTCCCGTCCCACTCAGGTTACAACTGAGATACCTACAATTCGATAGGAAATACATGTGTTTTAATGGCAACAAATGTGTAAGGTGGAAACAGAGTGACAGCAGCATGTTAGGGTCCCCATTCTTATTCTCTGATACCCTTCAGTGATGAAAGCAGCCCCCTAGCCACCATTTCCTCATGTTGTATTGTTTATGCCTGGTAACATCCATCCTACAGTCCTACAAGTATTTATTATATTATTACTTTGTTGATCTCCAAAATAGGTCAATGAAATTACTAGCAGACATAGTCTTTGATCCACATTTCATAAAGCAGCAAACAAAGAGTCATTAGGCCATGCCGAAGTCTATAGAATCAAAACAAGTTGGTTGAATCCCTATTCTTGGCTCAGAAGCTGCTATGAGCACACAAAAACCTCAGGGCAGGTGCTCCAGGAATTTATTATTCTATGAGAAACTACTCCAATAATTAGTGGCTGAATACAACCTTTTAGTATATGTCATGGTTTTGCAAATCAGGAATTGGGCAGGGCTCAGCCAGGTTATTCTTTTGCTCCATGTAGTATTGACAGAGATCCCAGATGGAATGGCATGGAGGGGCCAAGGCTGATGCCTAGCAGGGACAACTGGAGGCTGGGCTTAGCTGGGACTGCAAAGACAGGCCATGAGGGGTCTCCCTAGTTTGGATTCAGAGTGGTCTTACTACCTGCACCTCAGAGTTCCAAGAGCAATCATTTCCAAGGACATAGCAGAGGCTATATATACTTTTATGACCTAGTCTTGGAGGTTACATGGTATCACTTCCATACTCTATTGGTCAAATCAGTCACCAGCCCACCCACATCCAAGGGAAAAGGACAGAGACCCCACCTTGTAATGGATGTCAAAGAACTTGCAACTGTGTTCTAAAAGCAGAGCTGTGGAGAGAGTTTCCTCAATAAGTTAACCATAGGACCCAGCAATTCTACTCCTGGGTATATACCCAAAAGAATTGAGAAAAGGTATTCAAACAAAAACTTCAACACGATTGTCCATGGTAACACTATTCACGGTTAAACAAAAGGGGAAACAACCAAAATGTACCATCAACAGTTGAATGGATAAACAAAATGAGGTCTGTCCATACAATGAAATAGCCACAGAAAGGAATGAAGTACTCATGTATGCTACTACATGGATGAAACTTGAAAACAAACACTATGCTGAGTGAGTGAAGTCAGACACAAAGGGCCATGTATATGATTCAACTTATATGAAGTATCCAGATTAGGCAAATCCAGAGTTTAAAAAAAAAAAAAGATTGGTGGTTGCCAGGTGGTAAGAGAAGGGGAAATGGAGAGTGACTTCTTAATGATAGCTTTGTTGGGGGTTTTTTCCTAAGTGACCCCAAATGGTTCATACCCTCAAGAGTTTACAGTTTAGGAGGAAGAGTTCCTTAGATATATTTGCTTCTTGCTCTGTTACCCCAGAACAGTTACTAATTTTTGAGAAGCAAAGTTTTAAGTCATAGAGAAGATTCCTCAATTCATAGTACTCTCCTAGGGCTATGACTTCTGGTCCCTGGCTGCCACTTTGTATCTGGCCAGGTCCTCTCCCCCTCCCTTACACTGGGAAGCCCGCAGGGCCTAAAGATTAACTGCATAATTATAGGCCTGCGTGAACCAGCAGGCACACCATGGGACCTCTGAGTGCTTAGTGGAGCCCATAGTAGTCCCTGCCTCACAGCTTCCTGGGAAGGAGAGGAGCTTAGAGAAGGCATAGCACAGCATTCAGTAGTCACCATGATCGCTATGATTTTTTAGTATGAAAGGGGCTGCAGTGTTTAGGAAGTCAGAGTCTCTGGGTGGACTCAGGTTTGTACACTCCCACCCAATTGTTTTCTCTGCAGGAGTTTATTCGCCTGGGAAGTCTCAGCAAGCTCTCTGGGAAGGGGCTTCAGCAGCGAATGTTTTTCCTGGTAAGTGGTAAGAGCTTTTTGTTCTATGACCCATGATCCATGGGGTCACAGGGCCAGGGCTCTGCTGTCCAAGCGGGGGGGGGGGGGGGGGGGGGAGGCGCACCTGGAAGGCAGGAGGATCAGCCAAAGCTGCTCAGCCTAAGGTTGTTGAGCAAATTTTCATGCAAGATTTTAGAAACATTTTCTGTACTTTTTGGTTTAAAATGGAGCTCATGCATCTCAGCCACCCATGTTCTTTCTCCTCTAGTTCAATGACGTCTTGCTGTACACAAGCAGGGGACTAACAATCTCAAATCAGTTTAAAGTTCACGGGCAGCTCCCACTCTATGGCATGACCGTGAGTATGCAGTGTGGGTATGAGGCCAGGGCCTCTCCCTCTGGGCTGCCTGTGGTTTGCAGACCAGGTTAAAGGAGCAAGAGCTAGTGAGAGTGACATGAGGAAGGAAAAAAGGAGACTTGACTAGGAAGTGAGAGCATCACAGGTGCCATGAGAAACATGGGCCTTAAGACTCCCTGAGAGGGGCTCTGGGACCTGGCTTCTCTTCTGCATGTGGGATACATGTTGCTTCTAGAACCAAGTGAAGAGGCAAGATGGTGTGGCCATGTGGGGTGAGTTTGTCCTGTGCCCAGCCTCAGGGGCCCTGAAAGACAATTCTCACCATCTATGTGGAGTCATGGAGCCCACTCATAAACCAGAGAGCCACTTTGACCTTCCCTAAGATGTTCCAGTGGACAGTTCTCCATATTCTGTTACTCTTGGTTGGCAGCTGCTAACAGGCCAGTCAGCAAAGCATTATCTGTCTTATACCCACATTCTCCTCAGTGACTGAGTAAAAAGAAGTTTATGTCCTCTGCCAAAAAGATTCAGTGCCTTTGACCTTTCATTTACCTTTCCAATTATGAAATTTTCAGACTTGGTTCTCCCAGCTGTAGCCATTTTAGTGAACACCTAAAAATGCATTGATTGTCTTGCTTGCTTCTTGGCAGTAAGTTATGAAAACTTATCCCACAGATAGAGGAAAGTGAAGATGAGTGGGGCGTGCCCCACTGCCTTACCCTGCGGGGCCAACAGCAGTCCATCATCGTGGCTGCCAGGTAACTCGGGGACCTCTTACCTGTTTACTCTTTTACTGGCTGTGGTCTGAAAACCTGACATCCACCTCTTCTTCAGTTCCCGGTCCGAGATGGAAAAGTGGGTTGAGGATATACAGATGGCCATTGATTTGGCAGAAAAGAGCAGTGGCCCCACTGCCGAGTTCCTCACCAGCAGCCCCCCTGACAACAGTAAGTGTGGGGGAGGCTTTCCTGGGGTGGGACACAGGCCCATCATGTCAAGGAATTAGCCATGGAGGGGCGGGACATCTCTGGCTTACAGAAGGCAAGCATCCTATTGCATTTAAAGTCACCTTACCTAGTAGGCCTCAGATCCATGGACTGTATTTGTATGTAAAGCTAAAAATCAAGGAAATTCCATTTCCTAAAAACATTTTTAAAACCTTAAAATGGTGAGAGAACAGAGAAGTACTCTTTTCTGGAGCCAGCATTACTACTTCTTACACAGAATGTCATGACCTAGAAAATAAGGCCATCCATATGCTGGGTGAGCACTGTGGGCCAAGGGCCCGGCTCCCTGGCAGACGGGCTGGTGGGATGTTCCACATGGTGGGACCCTAACAAGCAGGTGGCTGCATGGGGGTCCTCAGGGCCATATCACTTGAGTGCCTTCAACCATCTGGGCCCATTCAGATCCTGAGAAGGGTCAGAAAAGGGTCCCTTCTGGAGAGCAAAGATCAGAAACCTTTTATCACATCCTGCAGAATCCCCTGATGAGGCCACAATGGCCGACCAAGAGTCAGAGGATGACCTCAGCGCCTCACGCACCTCGTTGGAGCGCCAGGCCCCCCACCGTGGCAACACTATGGTGCACGTGTGTTGGCACCGCAATACCAGTGTCTCCATGGTGGACTTCAGCGTGGCCGTGGAGGTACCAGCTGTGACCCCAGAGGGTAGGGGGCAGGGCAACAACTCATCCTTTTGAACATTTGAGCTTGACCTCTCGGGTTGGGCCAGCTAGCATTAACCTTTTCTTGGGAATGCAAACAAGTCTCCTGGCCTTCATTCATCCCCAGATTTTGTTCTCCAGGCCATCCTGTTACCCTTCCTCTTGTGGAGTTAACTGTGGGGCAGAGACTTCTCCATGCATTTAGCCATGTGTCTGTGCCAAGACCTAGAAACAGGTTCCCAGCGCAGGTGTGGATGGACAGCTCCCAGCACCAAGGCTGCCATATCCTACAGCGGCCAGCCCCCACCCGACACGCACACACCTGAACTCAGGCGCAAGGAGGCAGTAGGGTCAGAAAGCTGGTGCCAACCAGAGCCACGGCACATGCAGTTCATGAAGAACCTTGGAGTATAGCCTCTGGGGGTGCTGGGAGTTGTTCTGAGAGTTGGCTTTGGTGATGGGACTCTCCCCAGATTGTGACTATAAATCTTCCATAACTTTCCAAACGCCATTCCCTAAGCATCCTCTAGTCCCAGGCCGTAATCCCTAACCTTAAAACATCAAACCCAGAAAGCTCTAAAACCACCAAGTTCTCTTCATATCTATCCCATTGACAACAGAACCTGAGCTGATCGTGTTTTGTGTAAATGTTCACATTTTGGCAAATGATCCTGTTTGACCCCACTGCCAGGGGTGCCATAGTAGATGCGTGTGATTAGGAATTCAGAACTTTTCCATTTTTTCAGAAAGAGAAAGCCACCTGGCCCCAAAAATGTCACTTAAGAGACTATGCCAAGAACAGCGGTTTGTTTGGTTTTTGAACCAATAGTATTGGGAATGTATGTCAGATTGTTTTCTGGAAGTGACCTGCACAATTCCATGGAGCTTATTTTGCATTTGCTTGATAGTGTTCAAAATCCCATATGTGCTTCTAAAGCTGTCTGAGGCACAGGACCAGGGTGTGAGGCTCCCAGGGCTGTGCCTGGCCTCGTGCAGGCTGCAGTGACCATTCTGTCTCCTCCATCTCCCACAGGGATAGCCTTTTCCCTTACAGGCTCATCATATTCAACATTCTTCCTCCCTCCACACTGGGTCTGTTTGCAAAGCTTGCCAGCCAGAATTTTCTCCCAGGGAATAGTGAGTTTTCCAGCACAGAGGGAAAAACCAGTGACAGTCTGGTGGGAAAAACACCTGATCTGATCTAGCCTGTCCAGTCTAGTCCAGTGAAGCTGGTGGAAGTGCAACACCATGAGAAGGAACTTGTCCCTGCCTTACTTTACAGTGACTTTTGTGAGGTGTAGTTAGGATTGTCAGGGCATGGGGATTTGGTAGATCTGAAACCTCTTTTTTAATTCCTAGAGGCATGTAGATCATTCAAGGATGCAACTTGACACCCAAGTCAGGTAGGTCATCAGCAGCCCAGAAAAGCCTCCTCAAGGCCAGCCAGATGAATCTAGAAGCCAGGCCAGCAGACTGGCCCACAAACAAAATCCTACCCATCCCTGGTTCTTTACAGCCCATGAACCAAAAACAGGGTTTTACATTTTTAATGGGTACTACAAATACAAATATCTGATTTTTCCTTATGGCCCCAAAAGCCTAAAATACTTAATATGAGGCACTTGGAGGAAAAATTCCAAGGAAGCTTCTAGGTGTGTGGTTTTAAGATGACAAAATGCAGGTTAAATACTCATGGAACTGACTCATCTGTCACTCTGCAAATGTCTCTCCCTTGCCAGATCCTCCACCCTCCCACCCCTGGCAGACGAGCTCCACTCCTCCAAGACCTTGAGTCCCGCTGCCTAAGGAAAGCAGCAGCTCCTTTACTCTTGCTATGCTTTCTCACCAGCCTTCACTTGTTTCTCTCTTCCAGTTCTGCCTCCTGTGGGACCATACCAGTAGAAATGAGTAATAGGGATGTTTGGGGATACAGAGAGGTGAGCTCAGTTTGGGGTCAAGCCATCGGGCACTAGGGGTTCACATTAGACATGGGACAGTCTGATGCCTGGATGGCCAGTGTGAAGCCTGGCATTTGGAGGAATCTGAGGCAAAATGAGCAAAGTTCCTTTTTAAGACTGGAGTTAGGAGGTGTGTAGATCTAGGAGATATGTGTGCTATTTACAGTCTGATAAGGTGAGGACAACTGGGAGGGGACAGTTAGTTTACTGTAGTTGCCACAGAAATTTTATCTTCTACACTGCTGGAGGCTAGCATTCAAAGATCAAGGCATTGGCAGGATTGGCTACTGCTGGAGGCCCTAAGTGGGAGTGTCTGTTCCATGCTTATCTCTTGGCGTCTGGTGATGGCCTGCAATCCTTGGTGTTCCAAGGCTTGTAGATGCATCACTCTAATCACATCTGTCTCACTTGTGAGTATTCCCATGTTCAAATGTTTTCTTATGAGGACAAGAGTCATTGGGATTAGGACGTACCCTACCTACTCCAGTTATGACCTCCTCTTACCTTGACTGCACCTGCAAAGGACTGATTTCCAAATAAGGTCACCTCCACAGGTGCCAGGACTTTGGACTGTTGTCTGTTCTGGAGCAGAGACAACAGCAGTTTGGGAGCCAAGAACAGAGAGCAGAGCAGAGAGGCCTTTCTTCAGTCAGAGTCTGGGGTAGGAGGCTGCTGTGAAAGGTAGCAGGGAATGGGGCGTTGGCTGGTCTGGGGCGAGGATGTTGACCTCTCTCTTAAGGGTTCACCCTCTTGAGAGTGACAGAAAGAGGAGGGCAGAGCATAGGGAGCCGGGTTAGCTAAATAAGAGGCTGAAATGTATTGGAGAAAGTTTCAGTGTCACTGGCAACTTTGGAGACTATGGCTAGGGCGATGGGGAGAAAAGGCCAGTGGGTATGATTATTAAGAAGCATCTAGGCCATTAGTATGGCAAGACCAGGGGAATTTATTCAGTTTACACCCTTCCATGTTCCAGAAAGGATTTAAATAGTTGGCATTCTCATGAATCTACCTCGATCTGGTGTGTATACCACAGTGGGACTGGTGGCTCTTGTCCCACAGATAACTGCACCTAAGACTTTTGGACCCTATCTGGAGAAATTTACTTGGTTCAATATAAATATAAAGGAAAATAAAATGTGCTGTTCTCCTTGCCTGCACAGTGTGACTTGCACATAACCATTTCTCATGATGCAAAAGCTCCACCCCCACCTTTCTGGCTGTGCCATCACCTACTTGGCACTCAGAGCTCCCCACTTTCCTGTGCCTTTCTGCCAGTTGGTGAATGGCAGCCAGATGTGGTGGTCTCTTGGTGCAGGGATAGGACATCCTCCATCTGTGGTCCCCACTCCATCCAGCTGAGCTCCCGACAGCAAGGACCGGCTCTCCTTCCCATGTGTTGTCAGACTCCCCTTCAAACTACAAGCAACTTGAGGGCAGACACATGTAAAATTTTGTCTCAACTCCTGTCTTAAATGGGCACTTAAGCATGCTTATTAGATTAAATACAAGTTACTGGAGACACACCAAAGGGACAGAATAAATTAGACAAAATAAATGAAACATTTTTTTTTTTTACTTGTGGCAAACTTGGCCATTTCAACCATTTGTATGAGCAGCAGTACAGACATTTGTGGAGTTTTGTGCCCACCACTGCCATCTGTTTCCTCTTCAAGTCTCCCTGGCAATGAGCTGCCAGCTAGCTTGTCAGGGACATGGATGGCCTTCCCAGTGTCTGCTTCACAGCCAGACATTGAGGCGTCTTGGGGTCGACAAGGACATGCATCCTCTACACTTGATGTTGCGTCTTGGATGCCTGGGAGTTCACACTAAAGCCCTGTGCCTGCAAGTCCTGCAGGCACTGGGAGACCACAGGAGCTACCAGATGTCTCTGAAATGCTTGCTTTTACCAGTGTTTACCTGTATGTCGTGGAGAGAGGCCACTTCTCTCCCAAAGTCCAGTGTTCTACCTGGGCCACTAGATGGCAGCCAGGAGCTGCTGGTGCAATGCTCATGGCAGATTACTGTTGAGGGGTCTTAGATCCTTGGACCTGTGACAGCCACAGCAAACCACCACCAAATGGGCAGCACAAACAGATTTGTCTCACCATTCTGGAGGTGATGGGTCTGGAAATCATGGTGTCAAGAAGGCCAAGCCCCCTTTGAAACCTATAGGGGGGATCCTTCCTTGCTTCTTCACATTTCTATAGTTTGCTTGGTTTCCTTGGTGTTCTTTACATACATCACTCCAGTCCATTTCCATCATCACATGGAGCTCTTCCCTGAGAGTCTGCCTCTCCTCTCTCAAAGGACATCAGTCACAGTGGATTAAATGCCTACTCTGTTCCATTATGGTTATCTTTTAAGTAGCGTCTTTGTGAGATGATCCACATTCTGAGGTAATGGATGTTAGCATATCTTTTGGGGAGGTCGGGACCATAATTCAACCCATAATGGGTGACAAGAAAAATTAAATGAAGCTCATGGAGTCCACCTCTCCAAGTTTTTCCATCCACCAGAGAGTAAGGCCATTTTTAAAAATCAGTTACAGGAAGCCTGTTCTCAGAACCACAGACCCCACCTGTGGGTCTGTCAAAGAACAGCCTCACTAGACTAAAGATTGAGACATCCTTCCCACAGCACCAGGCTGCACCATACTGATGTTGGGGGCTCCCATCTGCATTCCTTACAGCCGTACTTGTCTTTCAGAATCAGCTGTCTGGGAATCTGCTGAGGAAATTCAAAAACAGCAATGGGTGGCAGAAGCTGTGGGTGGTATTCACAAACTTCTGCCTGTTCTTCTACAAGTCACACCAGGTATGTGAGTCATGCAGGGCAGGTGGCCCTGTGACCCTTCAGATGAAGCATCTGGTGTGCAGGCTGGGAAGAGCCTGAGGGACCCCCAAAACAGCATCCTCCCCTCTCGTGGGGCAGGCATGGAAAGAAAGAAGCCAGGTGTTGAAAGGGGTGTGCAGGGCAGGACCATATCCATGAGGCCCTCAACTATTAAGTCAAGACTGACATCCACTTGCTGACAGGCAATCTGCCTGTTGGTTGGATAAGGGAGTGGGGACAACTTAATTGATGGCTCACGTCCTGACTGGGAGGCACCAGGTGGACCACAGAGCATTGGCCAAAACCAGCTGCTTTGGTTTCCCGAGTTGCTTCAGGGTGAGAGGCTGCAGCCAAGCTCAATGCCTGTAGCCACCTTCCAAAGCCACCTTCTGTTGACCCTTTCCAGGACAATCACCCCCTCGCTAGCCTGCCCCTGCTTGGGTATTCACTCACCATTCCCTCGGAGTCTGAGGACATCCACAAAGACTACGTGTTCAAGCTGCATTTCAAATCCCATGTGTACTACTTCAGGGCCGAAAGTGAATACACGTTTGAAAGGTAAATGTTCCCCTCTACCCAGGGACCTACAGAAAAAGGATATTCCTCTTCTAAATAGGATTTCTCCCAAGGAAGCAAGTGGGTAAAGGCTCTCCGTACAGCCCACTGTGGGCGTTCACAGCCTTCCAGAATGGGCTTGTCCTCCTAACCTCATCAACTGCTTAGAATAAATCTGGGGTCACTCTGCCAAAATCCACCTCTGTTCTCAGAGAAGTGGAACCATGATTCCCCTGGGAAACAGGCTGTCCTTAACCTGTACATCTTTAGTTACTATTAATGTCACACACATTGCACTTCTAAAACTCTTTTACTTGTGTTTTTTTCAGTTTGTGACTTCAGTAGTTCAGTTCTAACAACCCCGATGGGGCTATGGCCAAAGGCTGTTTCCAGTCAAAAGACCACATGAGGAAGGGAAAGTAACCTGGTGCTTATTACTTAGAGTGACTACGGGTACAATCAGACACAGGGGCAGTAGTCTTCATTGAGCCATAAAAATTAAATGGAAAGAGCCCAGCTATCACATTTGACCAGTGGCTTCAGTCTGCTTCTGAAATTTCAAGTGCAAAATCTGGGCCTCTGAAATAGCATCCTGATGCAGACTACTCAAGGCAGTTGTCAACTGCTGAACCAGCACCTTGGGGGAATCTTCAGGCCACAAACTAGACCAGGCAATAGTCCCCACTCCCATTTAGGCAGAAAATTCTCTTCACCATGCTATTTGACAGGAAAATAATTTGTTTTCTTACCCCCCCACTGATACTGAACCCACAAGGGTTTCTGATCAATGGTCCAGTTTTGATCTGTGTGCAATCCCTAGTAAGTTATTTGAGTGGAAACAGCACAGTGGCTTAAAACCAGGGCTGAAAGCTCCCATGTCGTCTAAGCAGCAGTCTCTAAGGTACACTGCTTGAGCAGGTAGCCCAGGGCATAGCGAATCTCAACTATGATGCTGGGCTAGAAAATTTATCCAAGTTCGGATCCTGTTGTGGCAAGGTAAGTTAGCCTTGCAGTGCTAACCTCCTAAGAGACCTACAATTACAGAACATCTGAAGCCATGCTGTAAGTTCCAGGAAGGCAAGAAGGTTGGCAGACCCCAGGTTTTCTCAACCTTGGCACTGTTGACACTTTAGACTATATAATTCTTTGTTAGGGTCAAAGTGGGGTCTGTCCTGTGCACTGTAGGATGTTTTGGCCTCTACCCACTAGATGTCCGTTGCACTGCTATCGTGACAATTTAAAATGTTTCCAGGCAATGCCAGCATCCCCAAGGTATGTGAAAACTACCAGCACACTACAAGTACTCAAATATAGAAAACAGAATTCTCATGAAGCAGGACAAAATGTATAGCAGTGTCTGTGGGAAGGATTACAAAGCAGAACTCTCCAAACAACCAGATGCCACCTCTAACTACTCTCAATGGAGTGTGCTGCTGCATCCTGGGCAAGGCATATCCAACTCAGGCACTTCTGGTTCTCTGGAAAAATTAGCACATCAAGGTCACTGGTTCTCAAACTGATACTGAGGAATACCTGAAGTAACCCTTAACCCTGCTTTCCATTACTTGGGTGCTGAGAGTTCATTTAAGAACTCTTCATCTGCTAAAATGGCAGATGAGCCCTGGCTGGTGTGGCTTCAGTGGATTGAGTGCTGGCCTGCAATCTAGGGCATATGCCTGAGTTGCAGGTCAGGTCTCCAGCAGGGGGCACACGAGAGGCAACCACACATTGATGTTTCTCTCCCTTTTTCCCTCCCTTCCCCTCTCTAAAAATAAACAAATAAAATCTTAAATAAATTTAAAAATAAATAAAATGGCAGATTACAAATAAGAAAAATACCAGAGATAAAAGTTTATAAAATGTAGCGCTCAACAATTGCTTCTCACTTCCTTGTTTTAGGTGGATGGAGGTGATCCGAAGTGCCACCAGTTCGGCCTCCCGCACCCACATTCTGAGTCACAACGAATCTCATGTGTATTAATGGCAGAACATAGCTGTCAATTGTTTCAGTAGTGGCTGCTTTCCTGAAAGACATTTAAGGAAGTAAATGTCTGTATTAATGAAGCCTAGTAAAATTGACATCTGTCTAGAAAACAAAAACATGGTTTTACAGCAGCTCTCATCTGTCTCCATGGAACTTTTTTTAACCTTGTGTTTTTCCACTGTTAATTTCTCATCTGAAAGGAAGTGCTTCCACCTCCAAGGCTTGGTGGTGTTCTCTCTGTTATTCTCTTGACGGGCTGTTTTTAGCTTGTGCCAGTATTAAAACATTGTCATTAATATAGTGCCAAATGACAATTTTTCCTCCGTGACTGCACATTAAAAGCAGTACAGACACATCCGTTCAACTAAAAGACAGGGCAAGCACTCTTCTTTTATAGGCTGCTGCATTTAAAAAAATTTTTTTTCCAGTGTTTGCAATACACATGGCAGTCTGAAGCAAATGAGATCATTTTCAGGTATCATTTTTTTCTCAATCTTTCTACTTTTATAATAATAGGAAGTTAGTCAGATTGACTCCTTTGATTACTAAGAAATTTGGAGCATACTTCATTCCACTCTGGGGTCTTGTGATCCAGTGAAATGCTGGTACCAGACCTATTTGCTGGTGCAAGTTGACTAAAATGTTTAAGTGATTACTATTTACAAAGTGTAGTAGGTGATTTTCTATTAAGTGAAGCAGAAATCCAGTGCAACATCTAGACTGTCACACTGTACTGCTAGTGGTATATATAATGGGAAGATATTAAGCTGTGGTGTTTTGCTGTCTGTCTCACAAGCATGAAAACCTGTTATGTCACTAATCAGGGCCATCTGTGATGTTGTTATGTTATGTTATGAAGGGGTTTTGTGAGCTTCAGTGAATGCAGAAGCACTATGAATAATGGTGTGTAGTCGCCAGGCACCCATTATCATACCTATCTGTATCCTACTGCAACTGTGGTTTGAAACTCCACGTTCTATAGTAGTATATATCGTGCCTGTCTTCAAAACACATTCTTTTTCCTTTTTTATACTCATTCCTCCCCAGGTATAGGGTATCAACACTATGACACTGCACATCCTTGATAGTCAGACTACATAGGGACAATTGTTTCCAATAATAATTTCCACTGGTCAAAATCTGTTTGCCTATTCTCTGTGGAGATCAGGTGGCTGCTATTCCCCAGTGTTCTTAAGCCCTTTTTGAGTCCAGAAGGGGGCAGCCAATCAACCCAGTTCTCTTCCCTGCACCACAGCTGGGAAATCCCCTTACCTAAAACACACAGGACTACCCCAACTTTGTGGAGCTGTGACTGGTTATTGTGGAAATGGCAATGTAAAAATGGACAAGTAGATTGAAATGTGTTAATCATTTGCCTTACAATGTGTACCAGATGGTTTTAAGTACTAACAAAAGGGAATAAAAATACCTCACACCACAATCCAGCATATTGAAGTTTTAAGGCAGAACAACTCACCTTGTCTCTCGTCTTTATTTTCATTTAATTTGGGTGGTGATGCATCTATGGGCAAAGGTCAGAGTTGGCTGGTCACTACAGAGTGCAAGTCAAAAAGAAAAACAGAATGAACTCAACTGTTCATTGAGACAAACAATGTTTTGAAAAAATCGGTATTTTATAGTCTCTTGTTTCATTCAACTTGGCCCTCAGAGATAGAACTTTTCTAGGAGACTGACCTTCAGTGGCTATAAAAGACAATGACTAAAACCCAAAGAAGGAGGGCAAAGCAGAGAAGGGCTACCTGGCACTTCCTATATAAAAAGAACTCTGGAGACAAGCTAGTTCCTTGAGATTTCTCCCACATTCCTGGGGCAGACCAACACCCACCCAACAGGGAAGATGAAGCTTGAGTACACATGGCAGAGGCAGTATCAGTAAAATTCTCCAGAAGTCTACTAAATTTTACAAGGCTCAGGGATAAGATGGTCTCCGTATCAGTATTTCTGAATGATGGAAACAGTTCAGACCTATGAGTAGCACCACTGTTCTCCCTGCTCCTTTGTGACTTCAGAGAAAACCTTTGAGTCCAAATCACATGGGCTTTAGACTTATCCCAAGTTGCCAGGAACAGTTTCAGATGCCTTCTGTCTTAGTCCATTCAGGCTAATACAACAAAATACCATTGACTGGGGGGACTTATAAATAATAGAAATTTCTCTTACAGTTCTGAAGACCGGGAAGTCCAAGATCAAAGTGCCGGCAGAGTCAGTGTCTGGTGGGACCTTCTTCCTAGTTCACAGCCAACTTCAATGTGTCCACACAAGGTGGAAGGAAGGGCTGAGTAATTTCTGTGGAATCTCTTCTCTATGGGCACTAATCCCAGATATGAGCTCCATCCTCATAACCAAATCACTTCCTCCTACTACCATCACACTGGGCATTAGGCTTTCAACTTACAAGTGGGGTAGGGCAGACATTTAATCTATTCCCTGTACACATAAGACAAAATTACAAAAACAACTTTTCTGTGAACTTTACTGACCCTAGCATGATACGGTACCTGTGTTTAAGAGCACACTTTGCAGCATTTTCCATTTATTGCCATATTTTATAGGAGAAATATAGAAGCCATATTTTTAAAGAAGAAAATGTAAAAATGCTTATAAACAGACTATATGCTGTGCCAAAAGGAAGGTACAAAATACTACATGAAGAATTAAACTAGACACTTCTTCACAAGACCAACCTGAGGGAAAAAATGTCAAGATTCAGAAAATGTGTGGCACTTGCTTACATCAACACAATCATGAGACTGGCTGTTAGGGCACCAAGACAATCTCAAACCACATCAGTGGCCACCTTGCTTAGTATGTCCAGTGAGGACACAGAAAAGACAATTCAAAAGCATCAACAACCAGTCAGACATGGTCAACACGCTGTTTCCATTTCCAAAAGGTGGTAGCCACACTCGTGTGTGCACCCACAAGAGGAGCTCCACCACCACCTGCAGTCTCCAAGCAGACAAACTGTAACTGCTGGGGTTTGGCATCAAGACGCTTGCCAATCTTCATACGTCTACCCTGAATACTGAGCTCACAGGTGTGGTTCAACACCAATAGCAGTTTACATGGTCTGAGGCAGGTCCCATTTTAGCGCTGGTACCTGGTCTATCTTTTCTAGTGAAGGACCTGAAGCAGATACACAAATGCCAGCCTCCTAGGCTAAATAGGATACCCTTAAAAACATATAAACTGAGTTTATGTGTTTATAGAAAGTAACAAATCAGAAAAGACTATATAAGGAGGTGATCCACTTCTAAAATCCAGTAAAACCACATCTTTCCCAGGAAGCTTAATCAACAGAAGAAACTACCAACAAACTAAAGAATAATTTGCTGCTTTACTTTAGAGACAGCACTGTGTATTAAAGTCTAATGATTGCTGAATATCTCTAACCATTTACACCAATAGGCTTAAATGGAATCCAGTCTACCTATGAGCATGACCATTACTTGTATTTGTAATTGGCTTCAGCTTGTTTGATACAAGGTCTGTCCAGAAGGTACCCAGCCAAGTAATATGAAAAACAGAGACATTTATTGAGAAAGAATCAAGAAACATTATTGTACACAGGCCAATGACACCTCAGTCTCCTTCAAAGTAGGTACCTTGGGACCACAGTTTTCCCATTTGCCACTGGCTGCCCCATCGTATTTTCCCGAATCTCACTGGCAGTCTGAAATCTCTTCCTTTCAAAGGTGATTTTAGTTTTGGGAAAAGCCAGAACTCACAAGGCACCAAAGCTGGTGTGGGGGTCCAAGTCACCTGGGTGATTTGATGTTTTGCCAAAATACTCTGCACAAGACATACATGAGCAGGCATGTTGTTTTGATGAAGCTTCTAAGTGCCAGTTGCCCATAGCTACAGCCTTCTGAATCATCCAAATAGTTTCCATAGAAAATTGTTCAAGCCTAACACAAAATTTGATGCAGATTCATTGCTCTACTTGCTAAAAGCCATTTTGAATGTGATGGCCACACATGCTCACTCAACAGTGTCTACCACCCCCACTGACTAGTACAGTGAAGTCATCTTTGTTCACGCAGGCACATTCCAGTCCACTCTCTGGCTGCCAGGTTACACTGATGTGCAAAATGTTCTCGTTATATTAACAATGGCTTGACTTTCCAGACAGACCTTGTATGTCGTCCAGTTACAGGAACTTTGAATCAAAAAGATGCTGCCTATTCTGTCTCTCTTAAAATTACACAAGCCCTGTGGGGGAACACTGTTCATTTGTGGGAGCGACTTCTCGCGAGTCCCCCCAAGTGCCACAGACAAGAGAATGAATATGGCCAAGACATGCTGAGATCTGCTTGGGAGAAAAAAGGCCCTGAGCGCTCTGCTCCATAGCCTTTTATTGGGTTGTAATACACAGGAATACAGGGCGGCAAGGATCAAACAGTAGATAACATTTAAGAGAAATCTGAGGGCTTCAGAGTTTGAGTCAATGTCAGGAAGAGAGTTGCAGAAACTTTGGGAGACATACTCATTTCCTCTCGGATCCTTATCGTATGAATGAAAGCAGTCTTAGCAGAGCAGATTTCACAGGTTTATCAGCAAGTCTTTGTGATACCTGATTTTTTCTCTAGGACACGCTCTAGCAAGGCAAGGAGCTGCACCTCTCCCCAACAGGTATTCAGGCTTAAGGTGATTAGAGCCAGGAAGTGCTTCTCCCAGAGAACATGAGGACTCGGGCTTTGACAAAGCGGGAAGGGGGGGGGGGCCACAGGGCACGAGAGTCCGGTGCTCTTTGTTGCAGCCCCCCCCCCACAAGTCCTTCCATGAAGGCCTCCCAAGTGATTGAGTCTGGCTTAGGTTGCCCCCCACTGTGAGGAGTCTTACCCCTCACTGACTTCTGACCAAGCTTTGGGGGCAGGGAGAGGAACTGAGGCAGCGTTTGCTACCAGAGACAAGCTTTGTCTCCTGCAGCTCACATTCCAGAGGTTGTCCTTCTCACCCTTAGCTACAAGGGGTAGATACACAATTCCTAAAATCAGGCAGAGAAGTCTACAACATTCATACTTTGAGTGATTCTCCTGTAATGAACAAAACTGATCTTTGGTACATGCCTCACAGGGAAATCAAAGTTCCCTTATACTCTCAGAAACACAAAATGAAGTATTCTCAAAACTTATTATTTGTTAACAGTCTTGCTGCAGAATTAACATGCACAATAAGAATTAGCAAGTCAGTTCTATTTCCCATAATCAAAAAGTATCCTTTATAGAAATTCAACCCAAATGTACTTCTAATTAAAAGTATATATATTTCAGGATTTAAAAATTAGACCCCATTAACAAACCTAAACAATAACCACCCACTCTAGTGTCTCTGACTCAGGCCTCTGTCCTCTCCCTGTAGCATCCAGGTCACAAAGCCAGCAGGTATCTGACCTTCCACCCCAAAGTTTACACAGTAACTTCCTTGCCTACAAAAATCCTTTGTCTTCCCCCTCAAGAACTGCTACTCCAACAAGAGATGGACAATGGTTCATATCAACAAATATTGAACGTGCCACACATACATAAATCAGACAGTCAAGAACTGCTATAAGAACCCTAATTCCCATATCAAAGACCCAGAGATCTTCCCCCTTGGCAAGCAAAACCCTGCCACAAACCAAGAAAAGTATACACCTGGCTGACAAGCTAGCAGACCCGGGCCCCTATAAGAGAACAAAACCCTTAATTGAGGTCCCTGGGAGGAAAAAGCAATTTTACAAATCAGCAGTGTTCATCTTTATCATCTCAATGACCAATGTTTAAAACTTGCATACAGAACTGACCTGAACATTCAGCATTTGGAATGTGGGCCCTTCTTTCCAGAGTATTCTACAATGTCTTGTCACACATTCACACACACAAATACAGCAGGGTATACTGCTCCCTCACAACAGTCACATTTCAAGGAGAGCATGCAAGATAAGTGTTATAAAATTTATTCGTGGAAGCATTCACATATTTTTAGGTGGGAAAGGTGATATGCAAATTTCACTACAAGGTGCAACAAAATCATACAGGAAAGAATGGTACAGCTGACGCAGGATTGGCAGTGGAACAATTCCAAACAAATGTTAGATGAGAGCACTTCACTGGGGAAAAACTTAAAATAATAATTTAAAGCTTCATGAGACAAGATATGCTCCAATTTAAAACACTAAGAAATAGTACCATCAATGAAAAAGGAAATCAACTTCTAAGTGTACCAAAAGGGCTGGAGGGCAAACGAAAATTTTCAATTGTTGAGGTACAAATAGGAGTGGTTCCTTAAGAGGGGCATTAATTATTATTAATGATGAACCCTGCAAATACAAAATAAAACCCCAATCACTCGTCACATAATCCAAAATTTACATGTAATAAAGGCAAGGCAATAGACTCAAGTTATGGCCTGTCAAATATTTACTCCACTGACATTATCTACAGAAGCACTTGGCCAATTTGTACACAGTGATTCCTTATGCACGCTGAAAAGGTTTCTGTAAAAATGACACTATATACAAATCTGTACACTGATCCACCAGAGCGATTCTCCATCTCCCGGGGAGGGGAGTTACAACTTAAAGCCAGATACCTGAGGTTTCATTTCTTCAGTTGCCTTTTCATAATCCTAAATATACACTTTTGGGTTTGATTTTTGTTTTTAAAGATACTTTCCTTGATGTGTGTGCTATGGTTAAAATTAAAAACAAGAATAATAAAATAAAATTATCACTTGAAGGGGCGGACCCTCTCGATCCCATCTAGAGACTTATCTGGCCAAGGACCTAGTGAAGAGGGACCCGTGGCCCTGAACAGGCAGCCTCAGCTGGGGGGTACGTATCTTCAGCAAAGTCAGCAAAGGCTCTCATTGACTTTTTTGAAGGAAGAGGACAAAGAAGAAAGAAAAAACAGAATCCCAAATGCCAAAGGGATTTCAGTGGGATGACGTTCCTCCACCACTTAGAGAATATCTAGGAAAAAACAAAAAGAGAAATATAAGTAAATAAATGCCATTTCTCTAAATTAAAAATTTAATTTGTAAAAATTCAATCAATAACAAAAATCTTAATTTTTTCAGATATTCCCAAGTCATAAAACAACAGAGCAACTATCGATGAATTAATTATATAAAGAATTCAGCCCTGGCTCGTGTGGCTCAGTGGCTGAGTGCCGGCCTGCAAATCAATGGGTCACCGGTTTGATTCCCAGTCAGGACACATGCCTGGGTTGGGGGCCAGGCCCCTCGTAGGGGGTAAGAGGCAACAATACATTAATGTTTCTCTCCCTCTCTTTCTTCCTTCCCCTCTCTAAAAAATAAATAAAACCTAACGAAAAGGAGATATATAACATTTAAAAAAAAAATTCATAAGAATTAAGAAAATCCTGATTCTGCCCTGGCTGGTATAGCTCAGTGGATTGAGAGCAGGCTGTGAACCAAAGGGTCCGGGTTCAATTCCCAGTCTGGGCATATGCCTGGGTTGCGGGCCAGGCCCCCAGTGGGTGCCATGTGAGAGGCAACCACACATTGATGTTTCTCTCCCTCTCTTTCTCCTTCCCTTCCCCTCTCTGTAAAAATAAAGAAAGAAAATATTTTTTTAAAAAAAGAAAATCCTGATTCCAACACAAAAATTTTCATTGTTAGGTAAAAAGTGAGAATGTGATTCAGCCTTCCAGAGGGGGAAAAAAAAGATGTGAATAAAACAGTAAATAATACATCTTTAGTTATAATCAATTTTTAAAAACTGAAAAATCAGTAATACCCAATGATATAGTAAGATTCCAGGAATACAGAAACATGGCTGGTTTGAGTACCAGTGCAAGAAAGTATTTTGGCCACAAAAACACTGACAGTTGTTCAGGTAATCCACCTCCTGGCAAGGTCTTTTTTTGTAATTATAATAATTAGGAAGCAATTCTGACATCCAATAAAAGAGAAATAGTAAATAAGCATCTAAATAAAACAACAGACCAGAAATTATAATTATATCCAAATATGAAAACTATACACAGTAAGTGTACACAAAATTATACATGTAGTTTTATAATTTCTTTATCCTAAATACAAAAAATGTCTAAAACTTATATGTGCACTACAATTTTCATAAATGTAAAAAGTTAGTAAGACACACACATACACACACACACAATCTCCAAATACACACATATAAAAATAAAAAAATGGAAGGCAACAAACCAAAAATAATGAATGATAATGGTATCTGGGCTAGAGGGGTGTGATCATGTACAATTTCTTTTGTTTTCTAAAAATTCTATAGTACGTTCTTGCTCTGGAATATAAAAAAGGATAAGGATGAAGGTGGAGGGTCCCCTCATGGCTAAGATTTCCTCAACCACCTCGAAACTGACCTAGTCACAGCAGATGAGTCCCATTTAATGGGACTTATTATAAATATTCCAACCTAAATGCTTCTTTTCAGGCATTTATAATACTTGGCATTCTCACAGAAAACAAATGGTTACGTAAGCACCTCTTCAAAAGCATGCTTTAGCACAGATCCTAAGACTCACTTTTCAGAAAACATAAATGCCTTAGTCACAGGAGGAACTGGTGCCACACAAAAGGATCCACACATTAATTCAAACTAAGATGTACAGGAAGCCTTTGAAATGCTTTAGACAAAAGTTTTGTTTTTGTTTTTGAGGGGATACTATGAAACATGAGCAAGGACCTCTGTGGTTTGACAGCATTTGGGTAGGGATACTCAGGAAGAGCATGGGGAGTCCAGAAGGAGTAAATGGACAGTACCAGCCAAGGCCTGCAAAAAGCAGATAGGGACCCCAGGGAGGAGGGTCATCTGATGGCTGAGAAGCAGGGTTCACAATCATAACAAAGGAAAAAAAAGAGAGAGCCATCTGGGGAAGAAAGAAAGAATGCTAACTTATAGCATGTCTAATGCATAAGTGGAAAGTAAAACCTCAAACATAATGTGGACAGTTGTGTTTGTATTACATGGCTGCTGAGCATCTAAAATGTGGTGAGTTCACCACAGATGTGCTATGAAATGTATGTAAGACACATACTGGATTACAAAGAGCACCAAAAGAAATGTTAAAAACCTTACTGATAGTTTTTTCTAATGATTACATGGTAAAATAAGATTGCAGATGCACTGAGTTAAAAAAATATAATATTAAAACTTACTTTACTTGCTCCTCTTTTTTTTAATGTGGTTACTACAAAATTTAATTACTTTCCTACTAATGCTGGTACAGATCAACTCATATCAGCAACTGAAGAAAGGGGAACAGAGACAGACCAATTAAATACGCACAAGGCCACACCTGAGTCCTGGAGCTGCAGGGAAACCAAGGCACATATAAGAATCACTAGTAACAATTTCAGGCAAGTTGGGAAAATACCAGCCCTAGAAGTGGTGCTACAAAAGCAGAAAACAAGACCAAAAACAAGATGGTAATGCCACTGGTTTCTGGTTTAAGTTCTCTTTGTTTCAGACTTTAAGTCTTCTTTATTTTTAGTAAGAAGTAAATGTCACTAAAATGAAGTGTGAAGTGATTCCAAATTTCTTTGAGAAATTAGAAAAATGGACCATTATACATAAGAAAAGCTTATGCGATGATAATATGAAAAAAATCAATGAATATTACAACAAAGCTACGTTAGAAATCAATTGCATACACACAATAGACAGACATACATGAACATTGTAACAACAGTGTTTGTGTGAGGATGTGGTGACTTTTTTTTGTTCTGTTTTCCTCTATTTTTGTAATTTATTAGTATCAAAAGGGGCAGGGGAAAGAGGACAATTCTTCCTATTGCTTCAAAATTGAAGGAAGACAAATAAACTGTCTGTATTCTCTAGCCTAAACTTCGGAGCAAGTCAGTGTTGGGATGTCTTTTACAAAGAAACCTGAGAGTTCAGGAGAATATAACTGAAGGGTAAGAATTAAGGTTTCTCTTGATGTCCCTCTTTAGAGGGACTCTTCACAGGATATCAGGAAGCCCCTTCAATCATCACTTACAAAAAGTAGCAAAGATGACCCCATGTACTCCAAACTTCTTTATATGCTATCAAGCTGACACTTCACAACAGACCTGAAATGTTCCAAATTCTCGGCAGGGCTCAATCATCATTTGGAAGGTGAATGTCAAAGCAATGACATGCCTTGTGCTCAGGGTATTGAAGGTTTAGGATTCGGAGGAGAAATGGAGCCACAGAGATGCTGGGCAGCACCCATCCATTCTCTCTAAATACCCCCAAATGACTGTATTTATGCCAGGGTATCAGTCAAGGAGTCTGCTAAAATGAGTTCGAGAGAGTGGGTAGGGATACGGGTCATTTTCCTCACCCACAACCAGGGCCACTAGTGGGGACCAGGAGTACCCTGCAGGCTGGTATAGACAGAGTGTACTGAGTCACAACAAAACTTTAAGGCAAGAGGCAGAGCTGAGATCTGGCATGGCAACCCAAGGAAAAGAGCAGACCCACATCTATCCTCATGGAACTCACCAAGCCCAAACTTACAGAATTTTTGGACACTTGACTTTAAAGTATAAAACCAAACAGATAATTACCAACATCTGGCTAAGGACTATATAATTAGGCTACATCATTAAAGCGGGTATTTTAAAGTCATTCTGTATTCATGTGGCAAAAAGTTCTGTGGTCCTTCCCAGTCATTTCCAGATTCATATCATTCATTCATACTGATTTCTACAATTCAGAACAAGGGAAGAGAAACAGAGTAGGAACTAAGTGCCAAACTGGCAAACGGAGGATAGAAGAGCAGTCTGTTTGAAGGTGCTCCCACACCCAGCCTTCAAAAGCCAGAGGACAAATGGTATAGCCTCCATGAAGCTCTGTTCCCTGGAGGCAGTGACCTTGGCTGCAGCACTGGTGGCAGTTACCTCTGGAGCCGCTGTACGAGCTGGGCCACCATGGTGTCCGAGATCCCAGGGCATGCCTCTTCTGCCAGGTAGATGGCCCCTCGCAGTTCTTCTATGGACCCCATGTTACCGCCACACGCTTGGCTCTTCTCCTTCAACTTGAAAGACACAAATGTGAAGATCATAGGAATCAACGAGCATCTATTTTAGAGAGTAACAAAACGTGTGGATCCATAACAACTCCAGCCACATGAGTACTGGCAGCGACTTCAGCTCAGGAACCATTTCTTTCAATGAACAGTTTTCTGAATGCTGAGAACACTATGTATAGAAAGGTCATTACTGAGACTTAAGTCATTACCCTCACTAGAGTGAGCAGAGACAACTAGCTTCCTGTGCATCTTTCCAAAATGTGATGATGGCAATCTGTCCTCTTTTATTTTTCCATTTCAATCTAATCTTATACCAGAAAAGCAATTTTGAAATTACTACTTTCCACACTAAAGTTGCCATGTGAACCATCTAAAGCTTACTAATTAGATAAAATTTATTAATATTAATAGGTTGGTTCATAGATGCCAACGAACTGTCTTGTTGGTCCTCTTTTCTCAAAATATTCTATTTCATGTAAATAAGTACCAGCCCTAAATTCTGGGAATCTGCAACATCCCTCTTAACACCTCTGCTCCCATGAGAAATCATGACAGTATCATGACAATCTGTTCAGGCACCTTTCTCATTTTAAGGTCAAATTGGTCTCTTCTTGGAATTCGACTGAAGTGTACAGTGCAGAAGAGGAGCTGCTCAGGTCAAGGAACAGCCAAGTCAGGACTGTGGGCCACCTGAACAGGCTCCGGTTGGCAGGTGTAGAGAAAAAAAAGACTTTCTCTTCAGGAGTCCTCCTCCCTCCTTAGTTTCATGTTTAAGAAATAGTTTACAAAATAGCTTTGGCTTTTAAAGCTGCTGTGAACACATGCTATCATTCCCAGCATCAGTCTCATTCAAGAAATAATAGTTTCACCTTCTCCCTGCTAAAGGGACATATAGAACAACAGAAAAGGCCTGGCCTGTGAGTTTACCTTTAAGTTTAGCTAGAATACAAAATGAAAGTATTATTACATCTAGGATTACTCATTAATTCTGAGTAATACTTTCAGAATAATATTTTTATATGCCCAATAACAAATAAACAAGCTTTGGACCTATAAGAAAATATATGCCATTTTCCCCAATTGCCTGACTGATCCCAGGAAAGTCACTATAAAGGGTCTCAGGAAAGCAAGAGAGCATCTAGAACACTTGAAGGATCAATCTCCCAAACAACATACAAAAAGAGCAAATGGGGTCTTATAGAAGAGCAATGGTACCCAGCAAATCAACAAAGGCTAGAGCCAGAAAGCAACACAGAAGGGGCCTCTATCTGCCCTGTGTTGTTTAGTTTTCCAACTAAAAGCAGCGTGTTCAGTGGTTACAGGGTTGGACCCTAGTCTGCCTGGGTGGCAGGAGGGCCCTTAAGCAAGCTAATGAAAGCAGCTGATGGCCTGAGAAAGGGGTGGGAGCTTGGAGGAGAGGCTAAAAGAGGGAATAGGATAGGGACTGGCCTAGAGCACCCTGGGCACGGTGAAGGCACTGTGGGACTGGGTTCAGGCCAAGGGGAGCACTTCCTTCCTACCTTTGACAGCCCACCTCAAGTCTGAAGGTTTTGTGACACAGAATCCCTGGAGAGCACTGAATCACTACACAAACAGAAGTTACTGACTAGTGTGACTCACTCTGAATTATCTTAAAGGCCACCTGAACCAGGAAGTAGGCACAAGAAAATGAAAAGAAAGGGGTATTTCCAACTTTTTTTCTACTCAGATACTAATCAAATAAAAAATAATCTTCACTCTCACGAAATCTCTTCTTAAAACATCTCAAATACAGCATGCATATAGATATCTATATCTATATGCCTCCTTGAGAAGGAACAGGGAGGTGGCACAGGATGCAGTCACACAATAAGGAACTGAAAAGGACCCTCACCTGGTAAACAAGTGACCCTGTTGGGTAAAGTGACCACTCTGGTTAACTGAGTAAGGGTTAGGGTTAATCTGGGGGCTCAATGGGAAACATGAAGACTCCAGGGAACCTGGTGTCTCCTTTAAAATAAAAATTGACTTTTTACACTGCCATAAATATGTCTGAGCCAGACAGATCACATTACACCCAAATACTTTTTGTTGAAAGCAGCACGACTGAAGTTAAAAACTGCTCTGGTAATACATGGACTTAGGTTGGGTCACTGATGCCCTGTCTGTATACTCAAGGCGGTAACATGGTGACATTTCCAAGAGACTGGACTCTAGCCAGCCTTCCAGGAGCAAACCTCTCTCCTGCATGTTCTAACCTCTGAGATTCTACTGGCAACACTGTCACAGAAGGAGTGCCCTGTTCTCTAGTCCTTTTCCTCCCTTCTCAGCTCCCCCCAACGGTCAACTGGGTGTCTTACCTCTGCAAACAAAGGAGAAATAATTGTAGACAAACACTGAGAGAAAGGCCTCTTTGGGATGTCTTTCATCTTGGGGAAGAAAAAAGGTGATTAGAAATATTTAACATCCACGTTTGCAAAAATTCCATAAACTTCTGATGGTTGCTATCCAAATATAATGTCTGCAATGTTCTCTCTTCTGTACAAAATCTGAATAGAACTGCTTTATTATCCTTCCCTGAACAACAAAGTTCCACTAGCAGTGACATGCAAAACCATGGTCTGGATTCCACATGGAAAGGTACTAGGGGTCCAGAAAATTGCACTTTGTGGATGCAGGCAATGCTGAATTGTACCACTGTGCTACCTATGTAGGACGACTTAACCAATGAATCCTTGGAAATTGAGGCCATGTCAGAGCTGGTGGCTGTCATAAAACAGTACCCTATTTTTCACTTTTGCAAACTCTATCTGAACACTTAATGACTCATACCCACTTATCAAAGAAGGACTTATCGTAACACTAAGGGACAGCAACTGGTCAACTGAGAAATTACACCCCTGAGCTTTAAGAAAATGCTAAATACAGCTTTTCATAAACTTAAAACAGGCATAAAATCAATTAATCAAAATAAAGTTTTATATAACTATCAAAAATGATACATTTAAGATTTTTCCAACTACAATTGACACCCAGTATTATTTTATATTAGTTTCGGGTGCTGAGCATAGTGATTAGACATTTATAATTTACAAAGTGATCCCTCTGGTAAGTCTAGTACACACGACACCATAGTTACTATAATATTACTGACTTCCTTCCTTATGCTACATCCCCATGACTATTTTATAACTGCCAATTTGTACTTCTTGATCCTTTAACATTTTCACCCAGCCCCCTAAACCTCCCTTCCATCTGGTAACCATCAGTTTATTCTATAAGTTGTTCTTTTGTTCATTTATTGGTTTTTTTTGTTTTGTTTTTAAAGATTTTATTTATTTATCTTTAGAGGGGAAGGGAAGGAGAGAGGGAGAGAAATATCAATGTATGGTTGCCTCTCATGTGTCCCTTGCTGGGAACTGGTCTGCAACCCAGGCATGTCCCATGACTGGGAATCGAACCATGATCCTTTGGTTTGCAGACCCGAGCTCAATCCACTGAGCTACCCCAGCCGGGGGGCGAGGGGGTGGGGTATGTGTTAAGATTCCACATATAAGTAAAACCATATGGTACTTATCCTTCTCTGACATTTCATTTAGCATAAAAGCTCTCTAGGTTCATTCATGTTGTCACAAAAAGGGATGAAAATCCTTTTTTTATGGCTGAGTACTGTACATATGTATTACATCTTCTTTATCCATTTGTTTTTTGATGGGCAGTTAGGCTACATAATATCTTGGCTATAATAAATAATGCTGCAATGAACATAGAGGTGCATATAGTCTTTCAAATTAGTGTTTTGGATTTCTTTAGATAAATATCCAGAAGTGGAGTTGCTGGGTCATATGGTAGTTCTATTTCTAATTTTTTGAGGAATCCCCTACTGTTTTCCATAGTGGCTGCTAGAATTTGCAATCCCACCAATAATGCACAAGGGTTCCCCCTTTTCTCCACATCCTCACCAACATCTGTTGTTTGTTGATTTATTGATGATAGGTATTCTATCAAGTGTGAGGTGATATCTCACTGTGGTTTTAGTGACTTTAAATAAAACTTAATCTCAAAATTCTAGTACTTCACATTACCCTATGTGCAAAATAGGCACAGTCCTGTCAAGAGAGCTTTAAAGTCATCACATATTTGAAACTTCACCCCACAACCCATGACTCCCACTATATGTCCAAGTGTCAGGAAATGCTGACTCCACAGCACAGCAGGACAGAGAGCAGAAACTAGCACTGCAGGTCTGACTCTCTGAGTAAGCGGACAAGACAAAAATCTCTTATTGTCAATTCATCGACAGCAAAATTCCAAAACAGGCTGCCCTGAGGGATCTCACCCAGCCCCCTAACAGTCACAGAAAAGTGACTGAAAAATGCTGACTGATAACAAGCGTTAGTCACTCCAGTAACAACCAAACATACCTTATTTCTTTCTAAATCCAATGGCTGAAGAGCTCCATTCTCAAGACTCTTTGGATCTTTCTCTCGTATTGTGAAGATCCAGTCTCCCGAGTCACTCCCTCCAGCTGCTTGGCCATCTGTGTCCGTTTCCCTTAACAAAGAAACCCAGGAGAACTCCATGAGTAACTTGGCTCTGCAGGGGCTAAGACTTCATATGGAGGAGATCCACTGGTGGCCTCTCAAATCACAACTCAGCACTCAACACTGCCTGGCTACCATGCATGTCTTCTCTGTCTCACACTCACTCCACAGCTACTTCCAACCTTCTCCACTCCCCACCAGTGACACCCACTCCCATTCCCTCTTGGGCTTCAGAAAAAAGCTTGCCTCCTACCTCAGAGAATAGAGAGACCATCAGAATGTGGTTCCCATAACATCCCACAGTGCCAGCTGCATCCACACCCACCCCTCCCACCTATTCCTCAAATGGAAAGCAGGGTCTCCTCCCCTGCAGAACAATACTCTCCTCCTCTGACAGCCCCCTTCTCTTGGGTTTTTCTCCCCTTAGGCTCCTTCCCACCCCAGATTCAAAATGCATTCCTTTTGCTTACTCAACACTCTCCTTTCTACCTGCCGCCAGTCTCTCTGCCACAGTTCTTGAATGGTACTATACCTACTACCTCCATTTCTTACCTTCCATTCATTCTAACACTCACCCCACCCCTGCAACTGCTATGGCCAAAGCCACCAAGCCTCTATATACCATTAGACAAACGAGTTACTGGTCAATCCTTAACCTGCTCGAACCATCAGCTACAAATGATCCTGCTGATGACACTTAGCTCCTTTAGATGCTCCAGACTCCTGAGGCCACACTGTGTTCGAATTTCTTCTGACTCATGTCATTCCCAGGTTCACCTTTATGCTGGCATTTCCTAATACTTGGTCCTAAGCCTCAGGCCCTCCTCACTCTGCAGGTATGCCCTGAATAACACCATTTGTTCTCATGGCTCCAGTGACCATTTTTAGAGTGGTGATTCCTAAATCTGTATCATCTACCAAAACATTCGCCTAAACTCTAAATCTCAGTGCCACTCTCAACTAGACACACCCTCTTGGTCATCCTGTCTGCAATTCAATCACATTGCACAACGAACTCAGTTTCCTATACCCTGGCCTCCACAGACCAGTCTCTTCTCTAACATCATCATCTCAACATCATCCACCACACTGCTGAAGCCAGGACTGTCTCCTCCTCCTTTACCCAAATCCATGGCCGCATCTAGGTTCTCCATTTATCTTTCTATCCCCATTGCTACCACCCTAATTCCTCAACATCACAACCTCAACAAATTCCAAATCAGTGGTTCTCATTCTTGCCTTTATAATCAATCACCCGAGACCTTAAAAAAACACTTGGGTTTCATGCCCAGATACTTGGATTCAACTGGCCTGGCTTCCCTTCCCCTTTTATGTACTGAAATGGCTCCTAGACCTCATTCATCTCTTTAGCTAACAGAATTCATAGATGTTTAACTTGACACCTTAACTTCATGATTCAGAGTTTTTACAATGCCCAGTATCTACTAGAACACAACACAGTATCACAAAAACACATAATTGTATCTTCTTAAAATATGTATCTAAAACAGTTTCATCTGATCAGAATTTTGAGAGCAGGAAGTATAACAAAGGCAAAAGAAACCCAGTCAAGTTCACTTTATAAAGTTTTATCACAGACTTTGCACAGGAAAATCCCACTGACAACAAAAAGAAGCTAAAAAAATCCCAAACAGCCCCATACTTTACTAACACAAGGAGTACAATCAACCTGGATTAACTAAGGAAGGGATGAGAAGGAGGACTTAAAGCCCACCCAAAGAAGAGACTAGAACAAACAGCCCATGCCCCCACCCCCATGCCTGCAGCTCAGGGCACACAGCAGTCATGGACACACCATCTGGCTCATACAACACCTACAAGACTCAGGAGGAGCCAACTTACGTGTCAGAATCTTCAGAGCTAGAGTCTTCATGGCTCTGTTCAGCCTTCCACCTCTTGTACCTGTCAATGAGCTCAGTCAAGTAGGAAGTTTTCTTTGCATTGCGTATTATAAACTTGTGCTTCAGTAACTCCTTGGCAGAAGGTCTCTGGAAAACAAACCACCAAACAATGAAAACAGAGAAAGCATGAGATGAAGTCCCTACATTTTACTTGATTCTACCCCAAAAGTCAGACTCTGCCTCGAAATGGCAACCAACCACACTAATAGCTAACGATCAAATTCTACTTCAAAGTTTGTTCCCCTAAGACCTATTCAATGAATAGCCATTTAGCACCTCTGTGTGGGACACTGCGTACAGTGTGGATATAGCATTTAGTATCTGATGTTAAATTCTCAGGAAACCATTCAATGAAAGCAAGAGAACTTACACAAAAAAAAGCATTTACCTAGAAAACACTCCAGAGAATTTCATGAAGGTCATTCAAAAGAGCTAAAATATGCCTCCTAGTTTTTATAAAACATTTTATTGCAAACGCTGGCAAGAAAGAAAACATACTTTGTATTACCTTGTTAACTTTCTATATTAATGTTTGGCTCCACCCCCCCAAAATAAAGAAAAATGTTCATTTGGCTCCACCTAGAAAAAACTAGAAAAAAGATTAAGAGTTACCCTTTTCCCGTTTGCTGAAAGAGTGTCTGAGTTCTTAGTCATCCAGCTCTCCCAATTTAGAAATGCAGGTTTCCCAAGTCTGCCTCTTTTGTGGTGGTCGGGGTGAGGACTTCATCCAGGCCCTGGACTAAGAATGGCCACAGCCAGACAGCATGCTTTGAACTTGGCCAACTCCTTTGCCCTTGAGGTTGGCAAAACAAATTATAGGGAGCATACGTCCCAAGGAAGCTGAGTAAAGCCCAAATTGGAAAAGGCAGCGGGAACACACAAGTCAGACTAAACTCACACTTATTCCAAATTACTAAAGCTTTATTAATGAGAGGCAGACATGTTTGTCAAATTGAAGCTTGTGAAAAACCTGGGCCACCTCAGATATTTCTCTCTCCCTATCCAGGTGATTGAGAAACCCCAAGTATCTCAGAAGTGCTCACATTCTCAGCTTCTCATCCTTCTCTCAGTGTATTTGGGGTCCAGGTAGGGGTAGAGAAAGTAAACTTATACCAGCAAGTATTTTTAACGGTAAGATGTATACATGTATGGGTGTATCTTCTTGAGTGCTGGTGCCCTGTGACTAGGAGCTAACATCAGGATACAAAGTTTGGAACACCATGGCCATGTAGAACAAACAGCCCCACCAATGCCTGGTATATTCTGCATCCCCTAGCAGGGGTGTCCAACATTTTCGTGTCTGTGCCATACTGGAAAAATAGTTGTCTTGGGCCACACATTCAATACATTGAGACACGTAATTGCACACAAAAAAATCTCATAATGTTTTAAGTAAATTTACAATTTTTTGTAAGGCTGCATTCACAGCCATCCTGGGCCACATGCAGCCCATGGGCCACAGGTTGCACACCCCTGCAGGAGGATCTTAGAATATGCTGCACTCTCCTTTAACGCTCTAACAAACCATGGTGCTCTTGTAAAACTAATCACCCATTTTTAAATAAGAGCAAATAAAAAGGGGTCCAGCTAACCCTGCTGGAAAAGTTCATAAGCAAAACAAAGACATGTGGTGCTATACACAACACCAAAATATACAGATAGCTCTCAAATAGTGTCCTAATTCAGAGAGAAAACTAGGCTAAAGTTATGTACTTGTTACTGTCACACAGCTCTCCCAGAGTCAATAAAACATAAAGAAGAAAGAAGAGGCGGAAAGAGAGGTGGTTGGTTCATTCACATTTTATTTGCTTTTCTTTTCCAGGCACATGCCAAGAAGAAACTGAAAACATTTGCTCTAAAAACTTTAGCCATTATTTTTCAGGCAAGACTTTCCAATTACTAAAAAAAGCTTAACAACTTATAGCCTGACTTTCCACCATAAACATTAAAAACTTATGATTACACATGTAACAATAAGAACAATATTCAAGCTTGATAAGGAATGAGACACTAAAAACCTGAAAAATAAATTTTAATCCTCCAAGACAAAAAATAAAAACATATTTGCAGGACTTCCGCCAAGATGGAGGCATAGGTGGAAACACTGTTCCTTCTCCCACAAACAGGTTTAAAAACAACAAAGTTTTAGCAACAAAAACACAGCCAAACCACAGAAAATTGAACTATATGGAAGTCCCACAACAACAAACCATTCAGGCAGACTGGTAAGAGGGGCGGAGCCAGCAGTGGAGCAGGGTTGGGCAGGAAAGAGCCCCCAACCCAGGCGTGCAGCTGAGGGTAGATCCCAGGTGTGGGGTAGCAACGGGCAGACCCAGTGAAGGCACAAGGTGGCAGGCTGACCCCGGTCACACATTCTCGAGTAGATAAACCAGAAAAGGGGCAAGCAATGAGATAGACCGTGCAGGCCCCAGCGGTGGGAGGGACCACTTTTGCTCCCTCTCTGACCCTGCCCCCACATATAGCCTCACAAATCAGAGACCTGGGAGGCCCCGCCCTGGTGAACACCTATGGCCCCCTAATCACATGTAACAGGCTCAAACAGACCAAAACATAGCTCAAGAAGAACTCAAACCCCAGAGCCAATAACTCTAAGCTACCAAGAAATTGCCACCCTATCAGAGGCACAGTTCAAAACACTGGTGATCAGGATCCTCACAGAACTGGTTGATTGTAGTCACAAATTAGAGGAATAAATGAAGGCTAAACTAATTGAAATGAACGGAAATGCATAGGAAAACAATAGTGATGGAAAGGAAACTGGGACTCAAATCAAGGGAGTGGACCAGAAGGAAGAAAATAAATGACCAAACAGAAAAGAATGAAGAAACAAGAATTTAAAAAAATGAGGAGAGGCTTAGGAACCTTCAGGACATCTTTAAACGCTCCAACATCCGAATTATAGGGGTACCAGAAGGGGAAGAGAAAGAGCAAGTGGAAAACTTATTTGAACAAATAATAAAAGAGAACTTTCCCAATCTGGCAAAGGCAATAGACTTCCAGGAAATCCAGGAAGCTCAGAGAGTCCCAAAGAAGTTTGACCCAAGAAGGAACATACCAAGGCACATCATCATTACATTAGCCAAGATTAAAATGAGGGAGAGAATCTTAGAAGCAGCAAGAGATAAGGGGACAGTCACCTACAAAGGAGTGCCCATCAGACTGTCAGCTGATTTCTCAAAAGAAACCTTACAGGCAAGAAGGGGCTGCAAAGAAGTATTCCAAGTCATGAAATTCAAGGACCTACAACCAAGATTATTCTATCCAGCAAAGCTTTCATTCAGAATGGAAGAACATATAAAGTGCTTCTCAGATAAGATCAAATTCAAGGAGTTCATCATCACCAAGCCTTTATTATATGAAACGTTAAAGAGACTTATCTAAGAAAAAGAAGAGAAAAAAGATGAACAGTGAAAGGACAGTAAACTCACAGTTATTAAGAACCACACCTAAAACAAAAGCCAACTAAGAGGACAGCTAGATCAGGAGTGGAAACATAGAAATGAAGATCACATGGAGGGGTTAGTAACAGGGGAGTGGGAGGAGGAGAAGGGGGGAGAAGGTACAGAAAATAAGTAGCATAGATGGTAGATAGAAAACAGATAGGGGGGCAAGAATAGCAGAGGAAATATAGAATCTAAAGAACTTGAGACACATGGTCATAAACTAAAGGGGGGGAATGGTGGGGGAGGGGGTGTGCAGGGTAGAGGGAAATGAAGGGGGGAAATAGAACAACTGTAATGGCATAATCAATAAAATATATTTAAAAAACATATTTGCAATTCAAAGATACAATCTTATCCATTTAGAAAGAGAAAAAAACTGAGACTGTGAAGACAGCTGACATGACTGATTTAAAAATTCCACTAAGATGTATCTAGACCAAATCAGGCTACACAGGAAGAGGTGCCTGCTCATTCTGATCTCATGAAACTCACAAAGCTTGGCTCCTTGTTCAAACAGGCTTCAACAAACTCCTTGAGGGGTTTGCTGTAGTTTCCTTCCAGCGTCGGGGGGTTGTTCTTTGGAATGAGGAATAAAACCTTCATGGGGTGCAGCTCAGAATGAGGTGGTTCCCCTTTTGCAAGCTCTATGGCTGTTATGCCCAGGGACCAGATGTCTGCCTGCAACAAAAAAAAAATATCTTAGATACCTAAGAGACCTACCAAGTAGGAATAAATTCAAGCAGGAGTAAATTCAAATAAATATACAAGGTCTGTCCAGAAGGTATTCAGTCCCAGCCATGTAATATAAAAAGAGACATTTATTGAAGAAGATAAAAGATACAAGAAACATTGTACATAGGACAAAGACATCTCAGTCCCCTTCAAAGCAGGAACCTTGGGACCTCACACAGTTCTCCTAACTGCCCTATTGTATTTTTCTGAATCTCACTGATGCTCTTAAATCTCTTTCCTTTCAAAGGTGATTTTAGTGTGGGAGTGTGGGAAAAGCCAGATGTCTGCAGGACACCAAATCTGGACTGTTGGGGAGCTGAGTCACCTGGGTGATTTGATGTTTGCCAAAAACCTCTGCACAAGACATGATGCATGCATGAGTGGGCACTTTGTCATGATAAACTGCCAATCACCAGTTGCCCATAGCTGAGGCCTTCTGAATCACTGGTATAGTTTCCACAGAGGAATGTGCAAGCTTAACACAAGATTTGATGCAGATCCATTGCTTTACTCGCTTAATCATTTTGAATGCCATGGCTACACAGTACACCTGCTCACTCAATGGCACCTACCACCCCCCACGGACTAAGTACAGTGAAGTCATCACTGTTCACACGTGCACATTCCAATCCAGGTTACATCAATACTGTACAAACTGTTATCGTTATATTAATAATGGCTAGACTTTTTCCAAACAGACCTCATACTTCTTACCAAAAATGTACCTCTCAATATACTCTTTAAGGTTTTGAAAACATTATTTTTTACCAAAAATAAAAAAATATAAGCTTTTGGTTTAATTTCAAAATAGGCAACACACAGGAGAAAATTTAATATACAAAACATCTATCTCTGAACTGAAGACAGCTTTTACAATTACTCCTCTTTCACTCACTGTTGCAGGTATAATGCATTCAATGCCAACTGTAGTCCCTGAGTCAGTCAGTAGGGTAGGCCAACAGAGGTGAGCAGAGAGGGCAGATCTGGGGAGTGGAGGTGTGTTTGCCAGTTAAGTAATGCTTAGAACTAATGTAATGCTCTGAGATTGGGAACAGCCATCTGGGTCTTACAGAACAAATTTAAATACTAGCTCTATCACAAAAGTCTTGTAACGCTAAGACAAAAGATCTAATCTATGAGCCTAGTTCCCTCATCTGTAAAATGCGAACAGCAACATGTTGACTGTGCAAGGTGCCTAACACAACACCCAGAATTTAATGTACAAACACATGAAGAGACTTCCGCCAAGATGGAGGCATAGGTGGAGACGCTATGCTTCCTCACACAACCAAGTTTAGAGACAACTAAATCATAGCAACAATAAACACAGCCAAAACACAGAAAATTGAACCTTTTGGAAGTCTGATAACAAATTCTTCAGCCTGACCTGTAAGAGGGGCGAAACCAGCAGCTGGCGGAGCTGGGTAGCACAGAAAAACTCGGTCAGACGGACTCAGGCGCGCGGAATCCAGGCGCAAGGTTGGACCTGGTGGGCAACTCAGCAAGCAATCGCGGGGAAACAGTGAAGAAGCAGGGCTGCGGGTTGACTGTGGTCACGCGTTCATGCACTCGTGTGTGGATAGACAAGCGAGGGAGTGGGCGATTGGACGAGAGCCAGCAGCCCCAGCAGCCCCAGCAGCCCCAGCAGCAAGTGGCGGGCCGCCATTTCCCCGCTCTAACCCCGCCTCCACATACAGCGTCATAATCCAGCGACCTAAGTGGCCCTGCCCTGGTGAAGAACCTAAGGCTATGCTCTCCACCCAGCTGGGCGAAACAGCAGACGGGGCTGCCATTTCCCCGCTCTGACCCCACCTCCACATACAGCGTCATTATGCAGTGACCTAAGTGGCCCTCACCTGGTGAACAACCTAAGACTCTGCTCTTTACCCAGCTTCGAGAAACAGCAGAGGGGGCCACCATGTCCCCGCCTCCACATACAGCGTCACAATCCAGTGACCTGGGAGTCCAAGGCTCTGCTCCTCATACTTAATGAGCGCGAACAGACCAAAAATGGCTCAAGAAGATCTCAAAGCCCCAGAGCCTATAAATCTAAGCGATGAAGAAATAGCAAAACTCTCAGATGCACAGTTTAAAACACTGGTGATCAGGATCCTCACAGAACTGGTTGATTATAGCCACAAATTAGACAAACATATGAAGGCAAAACTAATTGAAATGAATGGAATTGCACAGGAAACCAATAGCAATGAAAAGAAAACTGGGACTCAAATCAATAGAGTGGACCAGAAGAAAGCAAATAATGGCCAAACAGAAAAGAGTCAAGAAGCAAGAATTCAAACAAATGAGAAGAGTCTTAGGAACCTCCAGGACATCTCTAAACGCTCCAACATCCGAATTATAGGGGTACCAGAAGGGGGAAAGACACAACCACCAGTGGAAAACTTATTTGAACAAATAATAAAGGAGAATTTCCCCAATCTGGCAAAGGAAATAGACTTCCAAGAAATCCAGGAAGCTCAGAGAGTCCCAAAGAAGTTGGACCCAAGAAAGAACACACCAAGGCACATCATCATTATATTAGCCAAGATTAAAATGAAGGAGAGAATCCTAGAAGCAGCAAGAGCTAAGGGGACAGTCACCTACAAAGGAGTTCCCATCAGACTGTCAGCAATTTCTCCAAAGAGACCTTACAGGCAAGAAGGGGCTGGAAAGAAGTATTCCAAGTCATGAAATCCAAAGACCTACAACTAAGATTGCTCTACCCAGCAAAACTTTCATTTAGAATGGAAGGACAGATAAAGTGCTTCTCAGATAAGATCAAATTCAAGGAGTTCATCATCACCAAGCCCTTATTATATGAAATGTTAAAGGGACTTACCAAAAAAAAAAAAGAAGTTAAAAAAAAAAAAAAGATGAACAGTGAAAGGACAGCAAACTCACAGTTATTAACAACCACACCTAAAATGAAAGCAAACTAAAAGGACAGCTAGATCAGGAGTGGAAACATAGAAATGAAGGTTAGCAACAGGGGAGTAGGAGGAGGAGAAGGGGGGAGAAGGTACAGAAAATAAGTAGCATAGACAGTAGATAGAAAATAGATGGGGGGGCAAGAATAGTATGGGAAATGTAGAATCTAAAGAACTTGAGACACATGGTCATAAACTGAAGGGGGGAATAGAACAACTATAACAGCATAATCAATAAAAAAATTTTAAAAAAACACACATGAAGAAGTGGAAAATACTCATATAATGCACCCTCATATACCTATCACAAGAATTTAACAATCATTAATACAAGTTTTGTAGTATATGACAAATAATAGATTAAAAATGTCGATATTTTCCCCCAGTACTTTCAGTTTGCCAATACAGTTTTTATTACTTATTAACATCTAAAATTAACATCTGTGAGAAGTAGCCAATCAATGTTTCTCTCTCACACCACCGTTTCTCCCCCTCCCCTTTCTCCTTTCTACTCTCTAAAAATAAATAAAGTTTAAGAAAACCTAAGACTTATGTTCCCTTTTAGTTCAGTGAGATGAAGATGCTAGTGAGGCAAATAAATCCTTTTCTTTCCCCAGCCTGATCTTCCTTTGTGAATCACTGTGCATACCCGAAGATGGAACTGATGGGAGCATGCTCTCATGACACTAATAACAGAATGAACCCTGCTATCCTACACCTGTTAAGCTCTACCTGTGATACAGAGACCAGTTGTGAAAATGTCCAGAAGATACACAAAGAAAAATAGAAGGGAGAAATGGGAAAGAAGCTGAATTAAACTTGTGTAGCCAGAGACCACAGTGACCAAAAGAGCAACAGTGCCATCAGAGAACAAACTGTTCTGTCAGGGAAAACCTGTGTTGAAAACATGCATTCACTGGAAGGATATTCCACAAAGCAACCTCAGGAAAAGGCCCTTTGTTTAGGCATTGCTTATAACAAGAACTACTAGCCCAGAGTTAAAACTAATGAAGGTGTGTGTATGTGTGTCATACCCCTAAGGCTTCAGCAAGCCTTCCAACAAGCCTCAATTCTCAGACACAGACACTATCCTCACCTGCAATTTCCATACCTCCTGGGTCAACAAACTTGGGAAGTAAATTTCACATAAATATATTTTCACAGATTGTTTCTACTAAAGAGTCGTTGAAAATTTTTAAGAAATTTAAAAAATGTTTTAAAGAATTAAGCCACTGGTTATGACACAAGCAAATGAGTTTACTTTAAAAATAAACCAGAGAAAAAGGTAAAGTAATTAAAGGTCAGGTGACAGACTCTCGAGGTTCCAATCAAGTGTGCATTTCAGGCAACATCTTTTTTTAATGTAATATATTTTATTTTTTTAATATATAATCTTTATTATATTTTTTCCACTACAATTTAGTCCCCCTACGTCCCCCCCACCCGTCAGCAATCATCACACTGTTGTCCATGTCCATGAGTCCTTTCTCCTTTTTACTCAATCCCTCCACCCCCTTCACTCCACCCCCACTTACTATTTGTCATCTGTTCTCCATCTATAAGTCTGCCTCTTTTTTGTTTGTTAGTTCAGTTTGTTCGCTGGTTTCCACATGTGACTGAAGTTATACGGTATTTGTCTTTCTCTGACTGGTTTATTTCACTTAGCATGATGTTCTCCAGGTCCATCCAGACTATTGCAAAGGGTAAAATTTTCTTTTTTTACAACCAAGTAGAATTCCATTGTGTAAATGTCCCACGGTTGTTTTTTTAATCCATTCATCTAGTGATGGACACTTAGGATGCTTCCATTATCTTGTCAACTGTTAATTATAATGCAATGAACAACAGGGGTGCTTATGTTCTTTCGAATTAGTGTTTTCAGTTCCTTCAGATATATACTCCCAGAAGTAAGGTTGCTAATCGAAAGGCAGATCCATTTTTTTAATATATTTTATTAATTATGCCATTACAGTTGTTTTATTCCCCCCTGCATTCCCATCCACCCTGCACACCCCCTCC